AAGCATTGGTGGGGATGTAGAAAAGCTGGAACCCATGTGCCTTATTGGTGAGATTCCAAAATACTATCGTACAATCACTGTGTTAAACACTATGGAAATAAAAAAATTAGAAACAGAACTACCATATGACCCAGCAATCCCACTTCTGGGGACATATCCAAAAGAACTGAAAGCAGGGTCTCAAAGAAGTATGCACACCCATGTCCATAAGCATCACTATTCACAGTAGCCAAGAGGTAGAAGCAATCCAAATGTCTACAAAAGGGGGAGTGGATAAACAAGATGTGGTATATATTATAAACACAATGGAATATTATTCATCCATAAGGGAGGAAATTCTGGCACATGCTATACCACAGATGAAGAACCTTGAGGACATTATAATAAGTGAAATAAACCAGTCACAAAAAGTCCATTACGGTATGATTCTATAAAGTATTAAAATTCATAGAAAAAAAATGTAGAATTCTGATGGTTACTAGGGGCTTTGGGGGAGTGTTGGGAGAAGTTAGTTATTTTTTAATGGGTACAGAGTTTGAGATTTGCAAGACAGAAATGTTTTAGAGATTTGTTTCACAACAACTTGAATAAACAACACTACGGAACTATACACTTAAAAACGGCTAAAGATGATAAATTTCACGTTTTGTTGGTGTTGTTTAGTCAGTAAGTCATGTCCTACTCTTATGTTACTTTTTTAAAATCACAGTAAAAGAAAACACTAACGGGGTCATGTCAGAAGACATAGGAGCCCACTTAAAGGATTTCTCATTGGTCAAAACAGGAACAAATTAAGCAACAAAATGGGTAATGACTATAACTGATTAGAAGATACTGATTTTTTAAAAAAAACATAATAGTGATACTAAAAACACATTAAATTCTTCATACAAGAATTAACAACTAGTAATTCTAGAAGAAATGATATATTTAGAAAACAACATTTCCTACGCAACTCTCTGTGTAGTAGCTAATTCAGACAGAGATCACCAATGAATGTTCAAACCATTAGATGAACAACAGTTGTGCAAGGATTTTCAAATGGTGCCAAAGCATCACCCCTCAGATAATTTACTAATTACAAAGGGGAAGATGTACCTTCAAATGGAAAGATGTAGCAGTGAACATCTAACAAAGTGATCAAACTTAGCATCTCTATTAGCGGACCAATCTGTCATTAGATGGTGCCTCCTTATTTGATACAGGATGTATATACAATGGTACCTATGAATTATTCCAGGTTCTGTTAAATGCTTAATCTGAATCTAATCCCTCCTCTAGGCCCAACTTCCAATTTACAGGAAATACAGTGGATGGAGGAACAAGTTAAACACCACCACAAAGAAACAATCAGACACAATTCAGAAGGACAATCTACAACACAAGTGACCCAGATTAAGAGAGACTAAGGAGATGATAACCAAACACATGATCCTTGATTAGATCCTGCTTGAACACTTTATAAGAAGATATTTTTCGGAAAACTGGAATACAGACTAGATATCAGATAATTTTAAGGAATTATGATTAAATATAAATTACCAAAAAACATGTGAAAATATTTAAACTCACTAATTATTAAAACAAAATGTTAAAATTTACCTATCAAATTGGTGACAAAAATTAATACTAGTTTTTGGGGCAGGACAATCTGGTAACATTTAACCAAAGTTTTAAAAATGTTTATATACTTTACCCAGCAATTCCACTTCTAGGCATTCATCCTATAGAAATAAGAGTTGTACATAAACATTTATGAACCAGAATGTTCACTGCAGCATTACTAATGAAAATGGATATAACCAAAAAAAAAAAAAAAAGAAAATGGATATAACCTAATTTATCAAGATGGAATAATAAATTATATGATTCTTTTAATCATTAAAAACCCTTTAATTTGAGATATTTAATATGGACAGGTCCTTAAATACATTAAGTAAATGGAAGAGAGTAGTTATTTTTTGTGATCCTAGAGGACAGAACTAGGAACTACCACTGGAAATTATAAGGAAGCACAAGTTGGTCAATGTAAGGATTAATTTTCTAACAATTAGAATTTTCTGAAAAGAATCTGAAAAAGAATGAATATATGCATATGTATAACTAAATCACTTTGCTGTACACCTGAAACTAACACAACATTGTATATCAACTGTACTACAATTAAATAAAAAAGAATTTTCCAAGCAATAAACGGCCTGCTTCACGAGGTAACGAGTTCTGCACTATTAGACGCTAAGCAGAGGCTTAATAATCTTTTGGCAAAGATATATGGCATAGATTTACATGGTAGGAGATTAAGGAGAAGATCTTAATGGTACTTTCCAACTCTAAGAATTTATTATCCAATATAAAATTATCTGTTATCGGGGATGACAAAAAGGAAGTGGTATGTATTTCTTTGTAAATGCTATTAATGAACCATGTGGCACTAAACTAAAAAGAGATTATACCTATATTATAATAATGGCGTTGAAGGATGATTTAATTATTATATTCTGTATCAATAATATACAAATTACTGATAAACTGAAAAAGATGATTTAACCTAATGCAGAGGGATCAAATTGAATTGATAGGAACTAATTTTGAATCTGTCCCCTATTATTTCTCTGTGTCTAATAAGGGGCCTGAAGAGTTAAACCCTTCCAAGGCAGACAGCACTAAACATCTTAAAAAGGACAGGAGGTACTCTGCTCCTTCTCTTTGCTTCCGGTTGCCCAGTAATTCATATATAAAGAAAGGAGAGAAAGAATATACCCATATCTCCCCTGCAATATGATATATAAAATCTTTACATTTTTGAGGTGTGGAAAGTAACACAGAAATTAGTATCCCACTGGGTTTCTGAAAGGCAGAAGAAAACACTGGAGGCCTATGAAGGTTTTAGAGTAGCTGGTAATGTCGAAAATTCTTAAGATGTCAAAAAAGAAATTCCCTAAAAGATGCACGTTAAAAAAAAAAACCACCCTTTTATTATGGAAAATTTCAAATATACACAAAAGTAGAGACTAGCATATAATAAGCACCCTCACCCTCAATGACAGTCACTGAGCTTCATTTATCAACATTTTTGTAAAGCTGTTTTCTCGAATTTTTCAGATTGAGTTTTTTATATTGTTTTGTTTTTAGATTTAAAAACAAATACCTGACATCACATTATTTTACCTATAAAAACTTCAGTATGAGAAGACACAATTTCTTGCTAATAATACTAAATATTCAATAAACTTCCTATGGTAAGGTACTGTTCTATGTATACTACTACTACTTACACATATAATTTTCATGTCAATTAAGCTTCACTGTTATCTTCATCTTATAAAAGAGAAAACTGAGTTTTTACTGGCTCAAGGTCACAAAGTCAGTAAGCAGTGGTGCTAGGGTATGAACCCAGGTATTAACCCTAGACCAGACTTTGTTCTCCCAACCACTAAAGCAACTGACTTTTCTCTTAGTTATTCTAGTTGTCCCTTATGGGATATAGATTGTTGTGATAAAATGGAAGAGGGATTGCTGAATGAGGAAGAGATTGGAAAAGATACAGTAATATGAGCAGCTACTCACTGCTCTTCCCATGAAATTTTCTTTTTAAATGCCCCAAATGAGAAAGGAAAATGTGACTAGATATCATCATTGTCAACTACCTAAGGTATAAGAGAAAGTAAGTCACCTTAGAGAGGGGAGCAATGATCATGTCTCTTCCACAGAGGATGAATATAGATGAACTACTTTTAATCTGCCCCTTTAATGACAGCAGGGGTGGGGGTGGGGATGTCTCTAGTTTCACACATCCTTTTAGTTCAAGCAAAGGGATCTCACAAGTAGAGGGCCAAGAAATCAGTACAACTGCATCTGATTGCTTAATGAAATCTGAGGAAAAACATAAAAGAACCTGGAGTAAAAATTCTTCTGGCTGATATCTCAGAGTTCTCAACCTTTAGCTCATAGCCTTATAAAACATAAAAGAAAAAACTACCAAGTAATTCAAGATTTGTCAAACAAAGGAGAGTTCTCCTTGGATCTTTGGCCAAAAATCCTTCTAAAATCCTCCCTACTGATTTACAATAGATCTCAGAGTAACTGAACTAAATTATCTTCTGTGTAGAGGCTGCTTAGGACATTCTTCTTTCCCAAACACAAACTTCTTCTCTGTTCCTACTGCACTTTATTCATAGTTCTATTAGAACACTAACCAATATTGCATTAACTCTTTACATTTTCAATCCCTTATCTTCAAACTGAGCACTACTGAAAGTACCTGAGAAAACTGTGCTGAATGAATACAGAAAGAAGCTAAGATGACAGAATATGAACTGAAGCAATTCTTTCACCAGTATTTTCTAACCTCCAAACCTTCAGTATAATTTACAAGCTTCCCTTTAGGAGTCTTCCCATCAGCTAATAGTTCAGGATGAACAAAAACATGAACTATAGTCTCTTGAGGCCTGGAGAAAGAATCTAGCCATTTTGGTTTGCAACAGCTTTTGATTGACAAGGAAAAACTCACAGACTGAAGAATCTGACCAGTAGTCAACCCTTCCAAGAGCTTTTATTCAAATGCCAAGATGCAAGATGGTATCCAAAATACCTGCTTTTTAAATGTTGAAGGCAACAGGGATAAAAATTAAAAAAAAAAAAAACCCAATGATTACTAAGCAGTGCCTGGTTGTCGTTTCTACTATTTTTCAGACCAAAAAAATCTGAAGCAAAAAAATCCCAGGCAAAAAATGTCTGGTTATAGACCTCAACCGTGGGGGAGACTCTTTTCATGTACTGGTATGAGTCTCCTTGGATGCCTCTCTAATACTAGTTAGCCAAACAAGTTTGAGGATTATCTGGTTAGGCAATCCCTTAAAGTGAAAACCTTTGGATAAAGAAATTATCTTTCTCACCAATTTATAAAAATTCAAGACGATCTCCCAGTTTAAGCTATATCACACTGGAATAAAAAAGTCTCACCATATTTTTTATAGGCCATTCTTTGGTTACCATGTTACCTTGGTTTGAATCCACTGGGTCTTCTATATGAGCAATGACATTCCTGAGATAACTTTGCTTCTGCTTTTCTAGGTCTGACGGTGAAAACGTCGGAACATTAGTCCTTTATCAAAGCAAACCAGGAGGAAAAATAATCAGTTAGAACCATGAGGACAGTGCTTTGTAGAGACTCATATACTGTTCATGGGTTGTGTGTGCTTAGTTGCTCAGCTGTGTCCAACTCTTTGTGACCCCATGGACTATAGCCCACCAGGCTCCTCTGTCCATGGGGATTCTTGAGGCAAGAATATTGGAGTGGGTTGCCATGCCCTCCTCCAGGGGATCTTCCCAAACTAGGGATCAAACCCAGGCCTCCGCATTGCAGGTGGATTCTTTACCATCTGAGCCACCAAGGAAGCAATGGATTAGAACAATGAACTCTCAAAACACTAAGATGCAATGACAAAAGACAGTGTTAGTCACGTAATGCAAAGCTGCAATCAAGTATAGAGCTGAAGAAAAAAGATACAACCTCCTTAACAAGGCATAGCAAAATGAAGACTACCTACTCCACCGAGAGAGAAAGCATTTTGAGCAATTCAAGGTTAGTAAGGAAACAACTAACTTCATCGAGCCACACAAAAATTGAGTAAGATAAAGACCAAAAAGAATCAGCTAGATCTGGCAATTAAAACATTGGTGACCTTGGCACAAACAACTTCTGGCCTTTGTTCATGCTGATTATACTGTACTGAGTGTCTGTGGATGAGATTGTGAATTTATTACTTCTCCAAGTAGCCTGACTTGTGTACCTTGGTATAATTTTCATTGTATGCAACTCACAAAGCTCCTTGAAGTAACCCAAACAAAACAAAGAGAAAAAACCCAGAAAACTGGGACTAGGGGATTATAGTCAAAGGACTTTAGCCTTATCTGTACTACTGAAGAAATTTAATATCTGTAATCAAATTTTTAAAAAGAATCTCACTGTAAGGAAGCACATATGACACAACCTAAAAAAACAGCTTTGCTAATTGAAAAGGCCCATGTAGAGATACTGCCATCTCCTGGCAACAAGAAAATAGACTGAAAAGGTGACTCAAATCTGCAACCTCTATAAAATTTTTTCACCAAGGACAGATATATGCAAGTTGGGAGAAATGTTTATATGACTTTCTACATAGATATATCTTAACATTTTTGTTAAAATTATTCTAACTTCCTATGCCTGTGAACAGGCTTCCCCACACATAGGAAAAGAAATCTTACATTTATACAGTGCTTTCACTAAAGTCTTTTTTCTTCTTAAAAATAACCCTATGAGGCAGCAGAGAAGGCATCATTAGCCTTATTTTATTGACAAAGAAACTGAGGTCAGAGAGTATTTGACTTGTCCAAGGTCACACAGTTATTGGTAGTCCCAGAACTTCAAGTATGCTTACTTCTGGCGCAGGGCTTTTTTCCCACACTAAGGAGAAACTCAGGAGAGCAAGAAAGCAATTGAACAGAACCAGAGAAACCAGAATATTTCACTATATCCTTACCTTGTTTTGGTTTGCAGAACAGGAATGACTTTGCCTAGTCTTTTTTCATGGACCTTTAGCTTCCCAGAATCCTTGTCAAGAACATCCTGCTTTTTTCAGAGCAGAAGGAATGAAGAAGGAAAGATAGCCTTAGTTATAAGAAAATAACTAAAAATATTACTTATGGAAATATTCTTGAACTAAAGGTTACATAAGCATACTTGTGAACTTTACTGTACCAGGTACTAACAGAGGTGCTTTAAATGAGATGATAGTAATCTCAAGGAAAAGAAGAATAGTAAAATCATCTTATTCAGTAAATGGTTAATTTTATATACCAGTTACTATGAATATATTATTTAATTAATTTTCCATATACTATAAAGTACTACTCACTCCAGTTTATAGATAAGAAATATGAGGAAACAGAGAATCTAAATAATTTGCCCAAGGACACAGTGCTAGTTAGGCATCAAACCCCAATTTATTTGAATACAATGCTCTGTTATATAGTTTCATTCCTCTCTTCACCTTGAAAATCATACTTACTTTGCTTGATGAACTGGAAGCTGGTAACTTCATTTCAAAACTTGATTTATATGATCCATTTCTCCAGGATGACCCTGTATTAGAAGTCTCTGAATGGTCCAAGATCTGAGAGAATACAGGCGTAGGTTTCTTACTGTTGGATATATTTTTATCAGAGACAGTATGTTGAAAATTATTGTTTGAAGAAGGGAGTGGGGGCCCATCATAGGCAGAGTTATTGGGGCTGATCCCTTCAGATTCTGTGCAAAGTGTGCTCTCATTTGGGCTAAGATCATCTTCTCTCATCTCTTCCCCAAGGGAGGAGGGTTTTTCAGTAACTCTGGATGTAACTTTGGACACATAAGTCTTGTCCTTATCAAGTACAACATCACAAACTGTTGGATCAAATGGTGCAACTGTAACTTTTATAAGATTCTTTTCTAGTGCAAAGCGTCTGTTCAATGGTTTAGTAGGAGTTGGTCCATGACCAACTGATGTAGTTAGTTGAGGTAGTTTGAATGTGTCAGGGGTCTCAGCTTCTGGTCCCATGTTGTATGGTGAATCTTTCTCTTGGGGAGTGTCAAGTGGAATTTGACTCCCCTTCTCTCCCTTCTCAACATTCCTGCTGTCATCATTAGGCAACCCTCCTCCCCAAGGAAAGTGCTCATTTGATAGGTCATCATCCTTCAAGAGTTCCTGAATCTGTTCCTCTGTGAAACTGAAATGGCCATCATCTTCTCCATCAGATAGCTCCAGCAAGGAGTCATCCAATTCATCCTCATCCAAGGAACTCCAAGAAAAAGGAGCATTGTCTTTAGGCAAGAGAGAGGTACCAGAAGACTGTTCAGAGGGCACTAGTGAGCACATCATATCTGGAGAAATAAGAGGCAGTTTCACTGAGAACAGGAAATACCCTTTTAACAACTCCAATCTGCTTTAGAGAGTGATAGTGTCTTAGTATTTCAAATTCTTTGCACTATGACTTGTAACACGAGAAAGTTCTAAGATATTTAACTTTACCAGAATCAGGGGAATAGCTATCATAACAATGAGATTTTTTTCCTATCAAAGTGGCAAACATTAAAATGACACGATAACCTATTTTGGTGAGAATGTGAGAAACAAGGATTCTCACATACTATCAGTGAGAGTATAAATCAGTACAATATTTTGTGGAGAGTAATTTGGCCATAGCATCTGACTCAGCAATTTCACTTCTGGAAATTTACCTTGCAGAAATACCTGTACAAAGGCACATATATACAGTTATAAAGGTGTTCAAAGCAGTATTATTCAGAACATCCAAATATTGGATACAACCTAGATGTCCATCACCAGAACTGTTGACTAAAATCATGGTACATTCATCTTATGGAATACTTTACAATTATTTAAAAACAATGAAGTGGATCTGTATGTAGTATCACTGGAATAATATCTATAACATACAACAAAACAAATACGTATATATAAAATGTTTGGATTTTCACAGTGTATACTTTTTAGAAAACACACATATTATTTTTTAATTTAAAAAGAAACAATTTTATGCATACAAGAAGAAAAAAAATTGTCTTTCATACTGTGTGGAGCTGCTGGTGTGATCTCTGCCTTTGCCACGAGACCAAATGGAAAAAGGGTTCAGCTCCTGCTAGCTGTTCCTTTCAGGGGACTTGTCAAAATGATTGACTCCCACCTTCCTGCAGGCACAAAGAAAATTAGAGGATCTTCTCATCACTTTCAACTCTGCTAATTACAAAGTCAACTGCATAATGCTTTAAGGTACTCCATCTATTAATTTTGATCTTGATATTTTTTAAAATACCACAAAGTTGGATTCTGAGTCAAGAACATCAAAGAAAAATCTTTAGAGGAAAAATTATGCAACTTAAGGAACTAGTTTTCTTCCTCCCAACAATTTATACTTTCTCAAGAATATCATTTGCTCTAGTAGGATGAACACGGTCTTGAGAGTCTAAAGACCTGGGCTACGGTCCGGGTTCTGTCACTAACTAGTTGTGATAATTTGGGCAAGCCATTTAACCAGGACTTGTTTCCTCATTTAAAAAATATGGAAGGGATAGAGAACTGGGATTAGGTGATGTCAACAGCGACTGAACTGAACTGAAGATTCCACCAAGATCCAAAAGTTGTAGTCATGACCATACATACAAAAACCTCATTTTCAATACATACATAAACACAAAGAACAGGTCTAGAAAAACACAACACAAAATTGATGATTATAATAACCTGCAGGGGCATCGAGAGAGGGACAAGGGGAGACTTCACTACTTTACTTGATATTTATATATACTTGTATAATTAAAAAATAGGTCTTAAGTAGCTAATGATGGACCTGATCTCTCATTATTTTCTAGATGGCAAAAGTGATAGAAAATTTGGAAAATTCTTAGAGCCTTTTAACTGTAAATTCTTCCCCACCCTACTTCCCTCTCTAAATTTTAGTTTTGGTTCATGCATTCTTTCAGAAAACATTTTCTAAGCTACCATCAACACACATGACTGAGCTAGATAGTATGTCTCTATATGATTTCTAAGAAATAAAGATATGGATTCTACCCTCAAGGAATGTATAATCTTCCAATAAAGACAACACTCAACTTACACACCAATATAAGAATATACAAAATGGTATGGGCAATAAAGCACTAGAGAACTATGGTGAAGTAATGTATGTTAACTCATTATTGCCATCATCTTGCATTATATGCGTATGTCAAGTCATGTTGTATACCTTAAGCTAATACAATGTTAGTGACTCAGTCGTGTCTGACTCTTTGCAACCCCATGGATTGTAGCCCACCAGACTCCTCTGTCCATGGAATTCTCCAGGCAAGAATACTGGAGTGGGTTGCCATTTCCTTCTCCAGGGGATCTTCCCAACCCAGGGATTGAACCTGGGTCTCCTGCATTACAGGCAGATTCTTTACCGACTGATCCACCAGGGAAGCCCTAAACTAATACAGTGTTATATGGGAATTACATCTCAATAAAACAGGGAAAATTAAAAAAAAAAAAAGCCTTGCTCATCTTAGAAATGAGACAAATGGGACAAAAAGGGAAAAACTGTTAAGCACCTATACTATAAACTATGCACTGTGAGACATATTTTACAACTCTAACTCATGTAACTCTATAACACAGGTCTTAACAAAGAAACTAAACTGTTATAAACTTAAGAATTGCTATGACTTTTTATCTTATTTTACCAATTTTTCAGCAATCGTGGAAGAGTTCTAGGCACCAGGCTTCCCAGGTGGTGCTAGGGGTAAAGAATCTGCCTGCCTATGCAGGAGATGCAAGAGAGAGATGCTAATTGGATCCCTGAGTCAGGAAAATCCCCTGGAGTAGGAAATGGCAACCCACTCCAGTATTCTTGACTGGGAAATCGCATGAACAGAGGAGCCTGGCGGGCTACAGGCCATGGGGCCACAAACAGTTGGACACAACCGAGCAACTGAACACACTCCAGGTAGGCACTGAAGCAGGTGTCTTTATGAAGAAAAAAGTAATTTCTCTGCCCAGTGACTGGGTTATAGAGTAAAGTTATTTCTTTAGGCAGCAGTAGAAAAAAGGTTTACTTTTGAAAAATATTTCCTTTACTTAATAAAGTTTGTGCTTGTCAAGCACAAGTGACAGACACTGGGGTTAAGTAGCCACTTTCTGAGAATTTCTGAGTCACTATCGCCACTCTCCTACTCCTTCCAAAAGTCTAGTCCTGGGAATTCCCAGGCAGTCCAGTTAGGTAAGGATTCTGCATTTCCACTGCAGGGGGCTTCCACTGCAGGGAGCATGGGATCCTACATATTGTGCGATACAGCCAAAAAAAACCCAAAAAACAAAGGGTCTAGTCTAAGTACTTGCTTAACCAAATGAAGAATTCAATATATTTTCACTCTTGGGAAACTAAAGTTCAGAGGCATTTAACGTACTGAGTATACAGAGCTAATATGCTAGAACGAGGATCCAAACCCAAGTTTAATTTCAAAGGCAATGTTTTTTCTTGCTTTTTCTACCATCCTGTGATAGACTTGCCCAGAGTCAGTGAGCAAATGGAAATCTTCTACATTCAGTACACTCTCTAATATACTATGAAGGATGCAGACATTAAAGAGGGTTTTTGGTCCCTTGGCAAAAATAATTTAAGCCACTGTATTATGCACAGGCTCCACTTAATTTCCCAAGTGGAACGGAAGAATGTAGAAATGACCTGTGAAAGTGGTCAAACCTCAATGGAAAAAAAAAATCATTACTTGCTAACTTTACTGTGCACACACAGGACCAATAGTCTCCATAGTCACTGAAAGCATCAATTCCTACGCCACATGACATCCAGAGGCACAGAGCCAGCTCTTCTGAGCTTTCCTCACAGAATGCTCCAATAGGTCTAACTTTGCTCTAAATTTGAATGCTCTTAGCATGCAAAACAATATCACAAACATCTATTTAACTTGCACAAATCATTCTCTTCACAATTACCTCATTAAAAATTTTTATTATAATTGAAAACATATGCAAAAGCAATGTAATAATGAATACCCACATACCCATTGCCCAGCCCCAACAACTATCAGCCCATTGCTAATCTTGCCCCATCCACTACCCCCTTTACCAGATTATTTTGAAGCAAATCCCAGGCATCACATCATTTCATCTGTAAATAACAAAAATTCTTTATCATAAAATATCCAGTTCATATTTTCAGCTATTTTTAAAATGTCACATTAAAAAAAAAACCACAACAGTATCCAAGTAAGGTCCATACATTAAAGTTGGCTGATAAATCTTGTATTTTAATCTCCAGATTCTCATCTTTTTTTTTCTTGCAATTTGCTAAAGAAACAATAACGTAAGCTGTGTATGGATACAAACATGGATGTATTATAAAATTATAAAAACATGCCATTCAAGATAGTGATTACCTCTGGTGGTGAGGAGGGAAAAGGAATGGTAAGGGGGCATGAATAGCTTCAGTTCTTTTTGTAATGTTTTATTTCTTTAAAAATCACTAACAGGAAAAGACCTAAAACAATAAAGCTGAGTGGGGGGTTAATAGTATTCATTATTATGTTATATGGTATAACTGTAACTTTTATATGCTTGAAATATTTAATAATAAAACCATTTTAAAATTAAGAAGCCAGTGGGGAAACAATGATTACATTTTGAAGTTTCAAATGTCCTCTCAAGTAAAATAGGGACCATCATAGCACCTACCTCATAAGGTCCTTCTAAGAATTAAAAATGAGATTATGAATACAAAAGCACTTAGCATACTACAGGCACAATGTAAAAGATAAAGTGAAGTTCCACAAAGATGGCCTTAGTATGTGCCTGTCTGCCATTCTACCATCATCTGCCTTTCCTGGTACTTGCTTTGTAGTAATCTCAAATATGAAGATCCTGGGACTTCCTTAGCAATCCAGTGGTTAAGACTCCATGCTCCCAAAGCAGTGGGCTCGGGGTTCAAACTCTGGTTAGGAAACTAAGATCCCACATGCCACCACCACCAAAAAAAAAATTAAAATTAAATATGAAAATCTTATTTTTAAAGGAAAAATATAATTCCCATCTCCCGTTCCTCTCTTAATTCTCTGTGACCCTATTCTGTCCTTCCATGTCTCTCTCATCTGTCCACCCCCTCCTTCACACTTCAGTTTACCACCCCCTCGCTCTGTTCTCTAACCTGGTTGCAACCTCAGAAACCAGCTCCCTTTCTATTTTTACCGTACCTAAGAAAACCTACTGCCTTAAAACACAAGCCTTATATTATTCAGGCCACTAAAACTGCAACACCAAACACAACCTCATACCTCTCTTTCAAGGCTCTAAAAACCAAGACCATTACCAAGCTGGATCTGACAGGTTTGGCCAAGGGCAAGGATTATTTCCAAAAGACCCACTGATCTTTGAGCTTTGATTTCCAACCTTTCCTGTGTGCAATACGTGTGAGACGTATAGCATTAAAGACACTCGGTGGCCTTTCCATGAAACGGGCATAAAGTTTAAGCCAAATTAAACTGAACTGCAATTATCTGTAAGAATTCTGCAACTCCCTTGGAGGTAATTGTAGACACTGCAGGAAAGAAAAACAACTCGGACCGCAAATCTCTGCTTTAGGTAACGGCTCACTTAGATAAGGGTGTCAGGACTTTCCTCCCACAGAAACCAAATACTACTCAGCTGAGGCAACAGGTTTCTCTTTAAAAAGAAAATGTTTTTTAAATGATTTAGACAGGATTGCTAAAGCTTGAAGCCTCTAACAAATCCATCAAACTGGAAATCAGGTTGGGGCAGCAGATGGGCAATTCAATCATTTACTCTGCCGGGCCCACCCGGCGGTGCCAAGTGCCCGCTCTCCTGCCCTGGAAGGAACTGGTGGCTCCTCCGATCGAGCGCTTGATCGCAGTTCGCCCAACGTAGGATAAGGTTTGACCGCCCCCAGCTCTCCCTTAGAAGCTCTATAGCCGCCGTACCGCACTGCCCTGCGGGCAGGGCCTTCGCACTTCCCTCCTCCCCAAAGACCAAGAATTCCCGCCTCTCCGCGGAAGGCGGGAGCAGCTCGGGGCTTGCTCCCCATTCCTCCCCCAGCAGGAGCCAAACAGCCCCTCAGCAGAGCGGCGCGGTACACCCTCACCCTGCGGGTGGCTGCCCGTCCCACACCTCCGCTCTCTCCTGGGGCGGGCCAGCCTCTCTCCGCTGCCTACCCGCCTGCAAGGCGCGGCCGGAAAGACCGCGATTTTTTGCCTAGCAACACCCTCCCCGCCTTGGGGCAAGGGGAGAGGCAACCCCCACCGCCACCTCCAGTCCCCACCCGCACCGGGCACAGAAACAGACGTCGTTCGCCCCTCTCGGGTAACCAGACGGCACCCTTTGCCTGGGCAGGGTGAGGGGCATCTATCGTCCGCCGACGTGAATTGGCGGGCGGCAGAGACACTCCCCCCTCCCGCCGCCATCACCTCAGAAACGAAAACGAGCCCTTCTCCCAGCAGGGTGAGGGCCTCAACCCCTCAACGGGGCTGACGGCATGCGCGGCCCTCTGGAGAAGCAACAGGCGCCCCCTTCCCCCTCCCAGCCGAGGCTCGCCGACCCCCACTCCTCCCTCAGCTGTTCACCTCCGGAAGCCGGGCCACAGCCTAGGCGAACGACTGAGCCTCACTCCGCCCCCTGCGCCATCTTATCGCCCCCTCCCCGACCTCCCCCACCCCGAGGCTGCCGGGCCAGTGCCAAGGGGAGGGCAAAGAGGCAATGATTGGCAGGAAACCGCCCCGCCTCTCAGAGGGTTGCGCCCGGCTTAGGCCCTGAAACCCCGCCCTCCACACCGCCTCCCCCCACCCCCACTACAGGCTCCACCCCTTTTCGTCTCATCGACCCGCTCGACACTTGGCTGTTCCGGGCTGCTGGTAGGAGGAGAAGGGTGCAGGCCGGTCAAGCCGAGGGACGAGTTCAGCTGATGCAACCTAACCTGGGCCCGCGTGACAGTTTCCGGCACGCGGCGGCGGCGGCTGCGACCGAGAAAGGGGCCCGGGTGCCGGGCTAACTGCTGGAGACGGCAGCGACAGAGTCATGGGGGACTCTCTGAGCCCTGAAGAGAAGCTAAACCTTATCACCCGGAACCTGCAGGTGGGGCCTCGGGGTTGAAAGTGCGTGGTTGGGGACAACGGGCCGGAGGTCCAAGTGATCCTGAGCACCTCTACGGGGTCATAAATGTATGGTACCCGGGATTTCGCGCCGAGGCAGCTCTGAGAGAGACTGCAGTCCTTGCTGCCGGTCGGTCAGTCAGTCCGTTACTACAGAAATCACAGTGGTCTCACGTTCTGTGTGCCATTACTTGTGTTGAGCCAGGCTTTGAATCCACCCCACCCACCCTATTGTGTGCCGGGCGCGGTGCTAAGGCGCTGGGGGTACGTCAGGACCCTACCCTCCTAGAGCATGTCTGGAGGAAATCAGACGTTTGCAAGGACCCAGGATCCAGACGTTTAATTAAGTCGAAACTAGTACTGAAAGGTGCTTTACGCGGAGATCTTTATTGAAAGGAAGTTAGGAAGAAGGCTGCGGAAAGTGTTCAGGGAAAGCTGAGGAACTCTAAACTGCCCTGAGGGATTCGGATCACCTCATCACTTCACCTATGTTGTGCTGGTTCCAGAAACTGCAGGAGTAGAAGTTAACCAGAATAATGGGTGTTAAAAACGTGTCAGGTAGGGGGAACCCAGGTCAAGAGCCAGAGGGGAGAAAGAACCCACTGGTTCTGAGAGATGGCTAACTTGGCTGGAGTAAAGGAAGCAAAGTACAGATGAAGCACTTAGAAAATATTTACATTGCTCATTCTCTTGACTCTCTCAGGCCTCTGTTGTCATATCATCTGTGGCCTTTATTTAAATAACAAACCCCTGCCAGAAAAAACTGCCTCATCCCTTACTCTACCTTTTTTTGTTATTTCTCCATAGAACTGATTACCGTCTAACATATGGTACATTTTACTAGTTTGTTTAGGAGGAGCAGGCAAGGACCAGGTCATGAAGGTATTGTAGGCAATGTTTGACAGTGGGGTTTATTCTGAAGGCAGTAGCTTGCTTTTATGTTTTCATAAGATACAATTCACATACCATAAAATCCACCCCTTTAAAGTGTGTGGGTCAGTGGGTTTTCTAGTAGTCACATGGTTGTTCAATTGCCATCATTATTTAATTCCAGAGCATTTTCATCATCAAAAATAACCTGTACTCATTACTAATCACTGTTTATTCTTCCCCTCTCCCCAGCCCTAGGGAACCACTAATCTGTTTTCTGTCTCTAATTTGCCTATTCTAGACATTTCATGTAAATGGAATCACAATATGTGGCCTTTTATGTCTGGCTTCTTTCAGTAAGCTTAATGTTTTCATGTTTCATCCATGTTGTTACACTTACCAGAACTCTGTTCCTTATTACAGCTAAATAATATCCCATTATATGTTGGATTCCTGAATTGGAAAGATCCCCTGGAGAAGGGAATGGCAACCCACTCCAGTATTCTTACCTGGAGAATTCCATGGACAAAGTTGCCTGGCAAGCTACAGTACATGGAGTCACAAAGAGTTGGACACGACTGAGTAACCAATACTACCTTTTTTTTTTTTTTTTCCCCCACTTGGTGACATTTTATTCTCCTGGGGAAGAAAAGGCACTGATTAATACAAAGGTGGAAGCTGGTAAGACCCATCAAAGTCATGCCAGACACGCTCTGTGGTATGTTAGTTGCTTACTTGTGTTCGACTCTTTGCGACCCCGTGGACCATATAGCCTGCCAGGCTCCTCTGTCCATTGGATTTCCCAGGCAAGTATACTGGAGTGGGTTGCCATTTCCTTCTCCAACCAATACTACTTTTATATGAATATACTGCATTTTATTTCTCTGTTTGTCAGTTGATGGACCTTTGAGTTATTTTCACTCATAACTTGATCTTTTTTTTTGTCCACACCACGCATCATGTGGGATCTTTTCCAGCCAGATATTGAACCCACGTCCCTTGCAGTGGAAGCACAGAGTCTTAACCACTGAACCAGAGAAGTCCCATTCTCATAACTTCATCTTAACCAGATTCTTGCATGCTTCGCCTTAGCCAGATTCTTTGTTTCCTAGCCTTTCTCCATAAGGAGACGTTGGGGAGAAATAACACACAAAGCTAGTAGCATTGATTTACTCCAGGTTAAGTGATATGACCATTCCTTGAGTAGTAAAAACTCTAAATGTCCCATAGTCAGGGGCTTAAAGGATGCAGGATCAGCCTCCAACTGGCTTGGAACACATGATTTTAACAAGTCCTGCCAATAGATATTCAAACCAGCAAAACAATTTTTGTCTTTCATGGCTTCCAATAGTTTCCCCAAACTGTCACCTGAAGAAACACTAAAATCTCCTTTGTCACAGCATAGGAGTGTATAGTCCATGGGTTGCAAAGAGTCAGACATGACTGAGCGACTTTCACTTTCACTAGCCTATTAGAATTTTTTTAATACTGTCTTAGAGCAAAGGAAATTATTAAATGAAGTACTTAAATAGGCAAATGAGTTAATCGAATTTTGTTCTCAAAACCTCTCTGGCTTCCTTTTGCGATGTGGATTGAAGAGAACAAGAGTAGATTTGGGAGACCTGTTAAGAAGCTATTACAGTTGTCTTGGTGTGATCTAATGATAGCTATGACTATGTTGGTTGTGTAAAGGTGGGAAGAAGTAGGAGGACTTAAGAGCTGTTTTAGAAGCTGTTTAGCTTTTGCAACTCAGTACCATTTACTGCACTAGGGGTGAAACTGTAAGTGAAAAAGATGCCTGGGGAGTGAACGAGAAAGGTTGAAAGCATGAGTTTAATTTTGTATATGTGATTGAATTAACTGGGTTGATAACAAGTACATGTTCTATATAGGTGTGAGCAGGAGATTTGGTAGTTACTAGGGAGACCTGGGTTCAATCCCTGAGTTGGGAAGATTCCCCCTGGAGGAGGGCATGGCAACCCATTCCAGTATTCTTGCCTGGAGAATCCCCATGGACAGAGGAGCTTGATGGGCTACAGTCCATGGGGCCGCAAAGAGTAGGACACGACTAAGCAGCTAAGCACAGCACACAGCACAGCTCATAAGTAGTAATTGAAGCAACTGAAGAGGATCATTTATAGAGAATGTAGAGTAAAAAGAGAGAGGGCGCCCGGGATTGCTAACATTTAAATAATTAGGAAGACAAATATCTGCAAAGAAATCTGAAAGACAGAAGCCAGAGAAGTAGGAGGAAAACTAAGAATAAAATAGAGGAAACTGAAAGAGATTTCCATGAAGTGAGGACTACAAAGTATCCATTCAGTTTAGCAATTTGGAGACCATCTGTGATCTTAGCAAGAGCATTTTCAGTTGTGTGATGCTGTGTGGCATTCAGACTGGAATGGGAGATAAGGAATGGAGAGCAGAAGAGACCCTTTCAAGAAACTGGCTATGAAAGGAAGGAGCATGAGCTGAAGGCAGTTGGAGGGGAAGATGCTGGTAGGGACAGTCTCCGTTTCCCTCAAGTCACTGTCATTACACCGGAGTGGTACTAGCAACAGCACCAGCTTCCTTTGGCTCTCACTCAGCACTGAGAGCCTGGCTAGACCTCCCTGCTGGCTCTGAGTCTGGACTCTCAGTGAAACGTACCTTTGTTTTCCTTGTCACAGGGTAAAGGATGAGCAGGTGGTGGTGTTCAGTTACTCAGTTGTGTCTGACTCTTTGGGACCCCATAGACTGCAGCATGCCAGGCTTCCCTGTCTTCACTGTCTCCCAGAGTTTGCTCCAAGTCATGTCCTTTGAGTCAGTGATGCCATCCAACTATCTCCTCCTTTGTCGCCCCCTTCTCCTCCTGCCCTCAGTCTTTCCCAGCATCGGGGTCTTTGCCAAGGAATTCGTTCTTTGAATCAGGTGGCAAAGGATTGGAGTTTCAGGATCAGTCCTTCCAGTGAATACTCAGGATTGATTTCCTTTAGGATTGACTGGATCTCGTTGCTGTACAAGGGACTCTGAAGAATCTTCTCCAGCACCACAGTTTGAAAGCCTCAATTCTTTGACGCTCAGCCTTCTTTATGGTCTGACTCTCCTATTTGTATATGACTGCTGGAAAAACCATAGCTTTGACTATGTCAGCAAAGTGATGTCTCTGATTTTTAATACGCTGTCTAGGTTTGTCATAGCTTTTCTTCCAAGGAGCATCTTTTAATTTCATGGCTGCAGTCACTGCAGTGATTTTGGAGCCCAAGGAAACAAAGTCTGTCACTGTTTGCATTTTTTTCCCCCATCTATTTGCCATGAAGTAGTGGGACCGGATGCCATGATCTTTGTTTTTTGAATGTTGTTAAGCCAGCTTTTTCACTCTCTTTCACCTTCATCAAGAGGTTCTTTAGTTCCCCTTTGCCTTCTGCCGTTAGGGTGGTATAATCTGCATATCTGAGGTTATTGGTTGAGTGAGGTGGGACACTGCCATTAAAGCAGCTCTTCTGCTTCCACTGCAGGAGGTTCTCGGGGAAGAGAAGCTGAAGGAGATACTGAAGGAGCGGGAACTTAAAGTTTACTGGGGGACAGCAACTACAGGCAGGCCCCATGTGGCTTACTTTGTGCCCATGTCGAAGATCGCAGACTTCCTGAAAGCAGGATGTGAGGTAAGAACTAATATTATAAACCATGCAGTTGCCCTTGAGCAGCGGCCAAAAGAGAGACTTACTCGCTTGTTTGGAGGTACTTGAACAAATTCACATTTTAGTGACCCCTTATCTTTTCTGTCCAGGTAACAATTCTGTTTGCAGACCTGCATGCATACCTGGATAACATGAAGGCTCCGTGGGAACTTCTAGAACTTCGAACCAGCTATTATGAGAATGTGATCAAGGCAATGCTGGAGAGCATTGGGGTGCCCTTGGAGAAGCTCAAGTTCATCAAAGGCACTGATTACCAGCTCAGCAAGTAAGTGCTCCACCCTCCTTGCGAGTCTGGTGCTTCTAGCTAGTTACAGGCCTGGGGAATCAAGGCACTCTAAATTTGGATGCAAAGGTGTTGGGCTCTACTTGTTAAGAACCATTAAAAATTGTATACACTTTGTCCTTTTAATTCATCTATCAAATATCTACTGACTAGTAAATGACGAGGTACCATACTATTTGCTGGGAATATAAAAGTCACCACAACAAAGTCCTTGGCCTTGTAGACCTCACAGCATATGGGAAAGTGGCAGCCTCCCTTTCTCCTTCCAGACTCAGCAAATAGTAATAAAAGAAATGTGAAAAAAAAATCATATTTGTAACATCAGCATTCATATAATTTTTTGCTCTAGTTTTTTAAAAATTATTTGTTTATTAGGCTCTGCCAGCTCTTAGTTGCAACATGCAGGATCTTTAGTTGTGGTATACTGGATTTAGTTCCCCGATCAGGGATCGAACCCAGGCCCTTCCATTGGGATTACAGAGTCTCAGCCACTGGGCCACCAGGAAAGTCCCTGTGCCCTAATTTTTTAGCCCCAGTTTCCTAAGTAATCCTTCCTGCCCACTGCCTCATAGTCTCCACATTATATATATATAAGCCATGTATCTCTATAATGGTAGTTAAACCATTAGACCAACTTTTTAAAAGGTAAGCATTGTTCTATCCTATTTCACAGATAAGGAAATGAATTCAGATTTAACCTCTCCAAGTTCATGCAGCTAGTAAGTGTAAGGGCCACAATGTGAACTCAGATCTCTTGCTTACAAGTTGATTTTTATTTCATCTACCATAATTTTCTTTGTATTCCCCACTGTTGGACATTTAGAGTTTTAAATAAAGCATATACCTCAAAGATATTGCAGGTTTGGTTCTAAACCACCTCAATAAAGGGAATGTCACAATAAAGTGAGTTGCATGAATATTTTGATTTCCTAGTGCATATGTGAAAATAGGTGTTGGACTTCCCTGGTGGTCCAGTGGTTAAAACTCCCTGCTGCCACTACAGGGGGCATGGGTTCAAAGTTATGTTTATGCAGTACTATAGTCTGTTAAGTGTACCATAGCATTATGTCTAAAAAAGCAGTGTGTGTGCCTTAATTTAAAAATACCGTGTTGTTAAAAAACACTAACCATCATCTGAGCCCTTGGTGAGTCATAATCTTTTTGCTGGTGGAGGGTCTCTCCTCATTGTTGATGGCTGACAACCGATCAGGGTGGTGGTTGCCAAAGGCTGGGGTGACTATGGCAATTTCTTAAGACAACAACGGAGTTTGTCACATCAATTAACTCTTTCACAAACAATTTCTCTGTAATTTGTGATGCTTTTTGATAGCATTTTACCCACAGTAGAACTTCTTTCAAAATCGGGGTTAGTCCTCTCGAACCCTGCCACTGCTTTATCAACTAAGTTGATATAATATTCTAAATCTTTGGTTGTCTTTTCAACAGTCTCCATTGCATCTCCACCAGGAGTAGTTTCTATCTCAAGAATCCACTTTCTCTACTCATCCCTAAGAAGCAGCTCCTCATCCATTTAAGTTTTATCATGAGATTGCAGCAATTTGGGCTCCACTTCTAATTCTAGTTCTCTTGCTCTTTCCGTTATATCTGCAGTTACTTCCTTCACTAAAGTTTTGAACCCTTCTCTTCCACCTGTGCAGATTGAAAGCAATTTCTTGCAAATCCTTGTAATGTTGATATTTTGCCTACTTCCCATGAATGACAGATTTTGTTGTATTTCTAAAATTATGAGACTTTAATGTTGAAATTACTGTTTGAGCCACAGGCTATAGAATGGATATTGTGTTAGCAGGCGTGAAAATAATGTCAATCTCATTGTACACCTCCATCAGAGCTCTTGGGTGACCAGATGAATTGTCAGTGAGCAGTAATGTTTTGAAAAGAATCTTTTTCTGAGTTGTTGTTCAGTTGCTCAGTTGTGTCCTACTCTTTGTGACCCCACGGACCGCAGCATGCCAGGCTTCCCTGGCCTTCACCATCTCCCAGAGCTTGCTCAAACTCATATCCATTGAGTCGGTGATACCATCCTACCATCCAACCATCTCATCCTCTGTCGTCCCCTTCTCCTCTTGCCTCAGTCTCTCCCAGTGTCAGGGTCTTTTCCTGTGAGTCCGTTCTTCACATCAGGTGGCCAAAGAATGGAGCTTCAGCTTCAGCATCAGTCCTTCCAGTGAGTATTCAGGACTGATTTCCTCTAGGCTTGACTGGTTTAATCTCCTTGTAGTCCAAGGGACTCTCAAGAGTGTTCTCCAACACTACAGTTCAAAAGTCTCAATTTTTTAGCACTCAGCCTTCTTTATGGTCCAACTCTCATATCCATACATGACTGTTGGAAAAACCATAGCTTTGACCATACAGACCTTTGTCTACAAACTGATGTCTGTGCTTTTTAATATGCTGTCTAGGTTTGCCATAGCTTTCCTTCCAAGGAGCAAGCGTCTTTTAATTTCATGGCTGCAGTCACCATCTGCAGTGATTTTGGAGCCCAGGAAAATAAAGTTTGTCATTGTTTCCCCATTTGCCATGAAATGGTGGGACCGGATGCCATGATCTTGGTTTTTTGAATGTTGAGTTTTAAGCCAGCTTTTTCACTCTCCTCTTTCACCTTCATCAAGAAACTCTTTAGTTCATCTTTGCTTTCTGCCATAAGGATGGTGTGGGCTTAAAATATTCAGTAAACCATGTTGTAAACAGATGTGCTTTCATCCAGGTTTTGTTGTTCCATTTATAGAGCACAGGCAGAATAGATTTAACATAATTCTTAAGAGCCTTGGATTTTTGAAATGATGAATGAGCATTAGCTTCAACGTAAAGTTGCTAGCTGTATTCCCCCTAACAAGACAGTCAGCTTGTCCTTGAAGCTTTGCAGTCTGGCACTGACTTTTCTCTAGCTATGAAAGTCCTAGATGGCTGCTTCTTCCAATATAAAGTGTTTCATCTACACTGAAAACCTGTTGTTTGATGGAGCCTCCTTCATTAATTATATTATCTGGGTCTTCTGGATGACTTGCTGCAGCTTCTGTATCAGCACCTGCTTCTTCACCTTGCACTTTAATGTTATGGCTTCTTTTCTCTTAAACCTCATGAAGTCTGAAGTTAGCAAAATCCCTATTGATGTTACTATTGCAAAAAAATTATAGTTTGATGAAGGCTCGGATGATGGTTAGCATTTTTTAGCATGTATTTACTAATAAAATGTATGTACATTTTATTTTTCATGTATGTACAGTTTTTAGGCATAATGCTATTGCACACTTAATAGAATACAGCATAGTATAAATGTAACTTGAATATGCACTAGGGAACCAAAACTTTATATGACTTACTTTATTGCAATATTTATTTCCTTGTGGTCATCTGGAACTGAACCCATGGTATCCCCAAGGTATGCCTATAACGTGAAAGATCATGTATGACAATACAGAAGAAGTTTGAAATATTGCAAGAGTTAACCAAAATGCAACACAGACATGACATGAACAAACACTGTTGGAAAAATGGCACTGATAGACTTGCGCAGAAAAGTTTCCACAGAAGAAACCCTTCAATTTTTAACAAATACAGAATCTGTGAGGCACAATAAAGTGAAGTGCAGTAAAATGAGGTCTGCCTGTACCAGGAAATTCACCTAGAATGCAGCTCAGAGATGGACAGAAAAGCTTTAAGCATGATTAAGTTGTGGATAAGAACTTTTGTTTCCAGCAATCTGACAGACTAGGTACTCTGATCAGCCTTCCTGCTGAAAAGTGTTTTTTTAAATGCTATTTTTAAGCCTTCTAATGTTCAGATATGGGCTTCCCTAGTGATTCAGACAGTAAAGAATCTGCCTGCAAGGCAGGAGACCCAGGTTCAATCCCTGGGAAGCTCCCCTGGAGAAGAGAATGGCTACCCACGCCAGTTTTTTTTTTTTAATCACAATTTAATCTGCTAACAGTAGGCATGCATGCATGTGTGTGTGTAAAGTCGCTTCAGTCGTGTTCAGCTGTTTGTGACCCCATGGACTGTAGCCTGCCAGGCTCCTCCGTCCATGGGATTCTCCAGGCAAGAATACAGAATCAGGTTGCTATTTCCTTCTCCAGGGGATCTTGCCAACCCAGGGATTGAACACAAGTCTCTTATGTCTCCTGCTTTAGCGGGCAGGTCCTTTACCACTAGTGCCACCTGGAAAGCCCCCACTCTGGTATTCTTGCCTGGAGAATTCCATGGACAGTCAGTCCATGGGGTCACAAAGAGTCAGATACAGCTGAGCAATGAACAAGTTTTCAAATAAATCAGTTGACAAATTAGTTGAGAATACTCAGTGACCGGAAACCAAGTGAAGGTGGGAGTACAAAGAGATTTGTATTTCACTTAATCTAAGGTTTTTTTTAAATACTGCTAATTAATCTATAACATGCCTTAATTTTTAATAGTCATCTAGGTTTCAGAGATGCTAAATGTTTAAATATGTCTTAAAATCTGTAAAAGGTGATAAAATCATCTTTTCAGTAAAAGAAGACTTTTACTGAAGACTACATGTACCTTGAGGAAACTCCTTGAATTGTATATACTTGAATTGTAGTTTTTGTGGCCTCATAGAGCGCAGTGGGAAAAAAGGAAAAGATAAAACTAGAGTACTAGGCCAAGAGGCACAATATTTGAGTAGTAAGTGTTCCAGAAAAGCAATAAAAAGAGTCAGAGGGAAGGAAGTTGTCGATGAAATAATGTAAGGACAATTAAAGGACGTGAGTTTCCAGACTGAAAGGGCTCATTGAGTGCCTAGTACAATGAATGAAAGTAAACCTACGCTGAAGTGCATTATTTTGAAATTTTAAAGCACTGGGAACAAAAAAGTATATGCAAATTTTCAAAGGGACAAAAGTCACATACAAAATAACAGCAATCATAATGGTTCTGCATTTCTCCAAAGGAACAATGAAAACTAAAAGGGGATGAAACAGAGCCTTTAAAATTCTGAAGGAATTTGCAACTGAAAAATCTGTACCTACACAAACGACCATTCAAGTGTAAGGGCAAAATATCTGAGAATATTTATTTTCAAGTTTTTCTTGGCCATTTGCATTTCCTTTTCTGTCAATCAAGTATCTATGCAAGTGTCTTGGCCCATTTTTTCACTTTTTTTTTTATAAAGTTCCTTGTGTTTTCTAGATGCCAAGTCCTTTGTCATTTATATAGCATGTAGATAGGATAAACAACTGGAACAGAATAAACAAACAACTGAAACAGAGTTCAGAAATAGATCCTCACAAATATGTTAAGTTGATATATATGACAGAGCTAACAGTATAGGTCAGCAGAGCAAGAATAAACTTTTTAAGAAAAAAGTGATGCAGAGATTTTTGGTTATCCATATCGGGAAAAAAATGATCCCTTCATTCCAAGTGGGTTAAAGATTTAACTGTTAAGGCCAAACTATAAACATTTAAAAGACAACATAAAAGATGACTGTCCTCTGATTGTGGGTCAGGGAAAATTAAGCAAGACATACCAAAAACAAATCACAGGAAAAGATTGATGGATTCACCTTTACTATAATCGAAACCTTCACTACATCAAAAGTAAGATAAAAAGACAAGCCACCCACTAGGAGAAGATATTTATAACATATGTAAGTGGCAAAGGAGTATTATATGTCAAAAACTCCTAAACCAGTTGTCAAAAATTGGGCTTCCCTGGTACTCCAGTGGTTAAGTGTCCAGCTGCCAATGCAAGGGACATGAGCTTGATCCCTGGTCCGGGAAGATTCCACATGCCTCAGGGCATCTAAGCCTATGTACCATAACTACTGAGCTTGCACACTCTAGGGCCCTCGAGCCCTGAGTACTGAAACCCAAGCACCCTAGAGCCCTCAAGCCGCAACAAGAAAAACCACTGCAGTGAGCAGCCCGCGCTGCACTAGAGAAAGCCCACAAGCAGCAACGAAGACCCAGTGCAACCAGAAATAAGTAATTTTTTAATGGCAAAACTTTAAATAATGAGAATATTAAGTAATAAAATTGATGAAAAGCCTCTTTGGAAAATAGTTTGACATTATCTTGAACTGAAGTTCAAGATGCAAATCCCTTGTCTTACAGAAATTCTACTCCTAAGCATATATAAAGGAACTTGCACATATGTATCAGGATACATATATAAGAATATTTATAGCACATTGTTTAGAGATACAAACGGACTATAAAACAGGTTACTCTGGAGAAGGAAGAAGTAGGATTGTGGAGGAGTGCACAGAAGCCTTAGAAGTAATTAAGTCTTTTTTGTTTTTTTGCTATACATGCGGGATCTAAGTTCCCCAACCAGGGATCAAACCCAAACCCTCTGCAGTGGAAGTGTGGAGTCTTAACCACTGGACCACCAAGGAATTCCCTAGGTCCCTTTTCTTAAACTGAGTGATGGGCAATTTAGTCATAATATTGTTCATTATTCCTTACATGTATTTAAGTTAAAGACATGACGACAGACTGAGAAATTCTGGCATCTATTTAATAGGCATCCAGAAGAAGAGAGTAGAGGGGAATGGCAGAGAAGCCCTATTTTAGGAGTTAGGCAAAGAGAAAGATTAAAGATTAATTTAAATCCATCTTTAAAAAGGAAAAATATAAAAATTAAGTAGTATTTTCAGGAGTGGATGGACTGCTTACATTTAGAAACTAGCAGGCAGAGATGGTTGGATGGCATCACCGACTCAATGGACTTGAGTTTGAGCAAGCTCCAGGAGTTGTTGAAGGACAGGGAAGCCCGGCTGCAGTCCACGGGGTTGCAAAGAGTTGGACACAACTGAGCGACTGAACTGAACTGATTCTTTCTGAATGTCTTAAGATCAGGAGAGTGAATTAACAACACACTTTTAGGGTTGCATTGAGACCTGGGCCCCATCTTAGAGCTGTCTCCTCTTGTCTCCTCTCAGAGAGTACACGCTGGATGTCTACCGCCTTTCTTCTGTGGTCACACAGCATGATGCCAAAAAAGCTGGAGCTGAGGTGGTAAAGCAGGTGGAGCACCCTCTGCTGAGTGGCCTGCTGTACCCGGGGCTGCAGGTATGTGGGAGGGATGGAGTCACCTATGACCTTCTCTGCTCTGATTCTGACTACTAGTCACAAACCTCTCTCTCAGCCCATTAGACCAGTGTCCTGGCTGTTCCTTCACCTTGCAGGAGGCCTTCCTTCCCCCCACAGCCCCTCCTCCAGACTTCTGGACCACTCTTTGACTTCTTCGCCTACCTCTCTGTCCTTTAAAATGCTGCTCATCTCACATAGCTTATTTATAGTAATCATGATCCCTTAATTGAAGAACATTAATTTCAGAGTGATGTGAGAGAGGGAGTGAGTGAGTGAGAAGTCCCTCAGTCGTGTCCAACTCTTTGTGACCCCATAGACTGTAACCTACCAGGCTCCTCAGTCCATGGAATTTTCCAGGCAAGAGTACTGGAGTGGGTTGCCATTTCCTTCTCCGGGGGATCTTCCCGACCCAGGGATCAAACCCGGATCTCCCGCATTGCAGGCAGACGCTTTACCATCTGAGCTACCCTGCCTGTCTTTAGAGTGATGAGTGAAAATAAATTTTAGGCATGATCCTATTTCCCATTAAGCAAAACAAACACATCATATTTCATGTGTGTGCATTTTTGTATGAGCATGGAGAAAGCATGGAAAAATTCAAACCAAGCTATTGATACTGGTTATTAGCTCAGGAAGATGGGATGAAAATGTCGATAGACTTTTCTTTTCCCTTGTATATTTCTCTAATGTTTGATAAAGTCTTACACACTACTGTATATAAAATAAACAAGGTCCTACTCCATAGCCCAGGGAACTATATTCAATATCTTATAATAAACTATAATGGAAAAGAATCTGAGAAAGAATATATATATATATATATATATATATATATATATATATATATATTGAATCACTGAATAAATAAAACTGAATCACTTTGCTATATGGCAGAAACTAATATACATTGGAAGGCAGCTATGCTCACCACTATACCACCAACGCCCTCTAATATACATTGGAAATCAACTAAACTTTAATGAAATACATTAAAATTTTAAAAATAAATAATTTTTTTTTTAACTTGAAAGAAAAGAAAATCAAGTCTTCTCTTGGTCAGGAACTCTAGATCTGAACTCTAGAACTCTAGATCTAATTCAGTCCATTATGGCAGCCTCTTGTCATAGTCACTATATGTGGCTACCGAAGTAATTAAAATTTTAGTTTTCCAGTCCTACTGAATATATTTCAGGTTGCTCACAAACCGCATGTGGCTGGAGGCTGACCTGTTGAACAGCACAGGTGTGGAACATATTCACCCTCACCGAAAGTTCTGTTAGTGCTGTTCTGTGCCTAACTGCTTGCTTATCTTTCTCTTCCTCTCCTTCCTCTTTCCCCCACGTCCAATCAGATACTACATTTTATTAATCCTACTTAAAAATCTCTTAAATTCACTCTTCTTCTACATCCCCACCAACTTGAAAGTGAAAGTAAAAGTTGCTCAGTAGTGTCTGACTCTTTGCAACTCCCATGGAATTCTCCAGATCAGAATACTGAAGTGGATAGCCTTTCCCTTCTCTGGGGGATCTTCCCAAGCCAGGGATCGAACCCAGGTCTCCCGCATTGCAGGTGGATTCTTTACCAGCTGAGCCACAAGGCAAGCCCCCTCAGCAACTTCATTCATTGTTATTTCTTACCTGGACTCTCACAGCAGCTTTCTTGCTGTTGTCTTTGTCTCCAGCCCTCAGGCCACAACTCTGCACTCTGCTGTCTCAGTGGTGTGGTTTTCTGCAGTTATGTGAATTGTGATTCTTCCCTCCTTAAAATAATTCAGTGGCCAGGATGAGGCTAGGTACCCTCACATGACACTCAGTGTCCTGACCAACCTTTCTAACGTCATCAGTCACCACTTCCCACACCCCTTGGAGTTGGCAGACTGACTCAGTCATAGTTTCCCTAAACATCTCACACGTCTGAGCCTTCTCACAGTCTGTTTCCTCTCCATGGTGAAAAACATCTATATGTTCTTCAGAACCCGTCTCAGCCCACAGTCTGATTCTAGGAAGCCTTCACCACCACCAGGCTGAGCAGATAGAGAAAATCATTTCTTTCTTCGTGTTAGCATGTTCCTTAAATGAACATGTAAGTTAGCCCTTGGAATGCTGTATTGAAATGACCTGTTTATGTGTCTTTCTTCTCAGCTAGTTAATTGACTTCATGAAGGCAGAACCTGGGTCTGGGTGTGATTCACATCCACAGGGTTGGCACTGGGCCTGGCATGTAACAAGTGATAGTAACTGTTTGTTTACTAATTTAGTCTTGCCCCTTTTTTCTGAGCTCTTACAGCACTTGCTTCTTACTGCCAGTTATTTGACACTTGTTGCAGGCTACCTCATTAATTGGGTACCTTTGATGTGAATATAATTTGTCTTTTTCCTTCCCTTTCCTTCCCTACTGGATCGTGAGCTTCCTGAGAGCAGACACGCTTCTTATTTTTTTATCCTATAATATCCACATGGAGTGGAGTTTGCAGAAGGCATTCAGCAAATGTGTGTCCAGCTCTTGAAGCCAACAGGAAGACTGAGTGCTGCTTATTTGCTTCCTGGTTTACTTCTTGAAAATTCTAATGGTTTTCAAAAGTTTCTGGTTTCTTATACCCATTTGGAAGAAATACAGTAGAAATTCATGCTCGTGTGTTTCTTCCCACAGGCCTTGGATGAAGAGTATTTGAAAGTGGATGCCCAGTTTGGAGGTGTTGATCAGAGAAAGATTTTCACCTTTGCAGAGAAGGTTAGTGTCCTCTTTCTTGTCTTTTTTCTTTTGCGTGGCAGAAGTATACATTGGCGTTTCTTTCTTTGTTTCTCTTTATTTTGTTTTATGTTTTTATCTGGGTTGGGTCTTAGTTGTAGCTTGTGGGATCTTCGTTGCAGTGTGCAGGCTTCAGAGCATGTGGGCTCTCTAGTTATGGCACATGGGCTCAGTGGTTGCATCTCACAGGCTTATTTGCCTTGCATCCTGTGGGATCTTGGCTCCCCAATCAGGGATCAAACCCACACCTGCCGCATTGGAGGGCAGATTCTTAACCACTGGAACACCAAAGAAGTCCGCATTAGAGTTTCTTGAATGTGCCAGTCCCAGCAGTCATGTGGTACAGTAGATATTATTTCCCTTGTTTTGCAAATAAGAAAACTGAGCGTAGAGAATAAAAAAGCTGTCCAGTATCACACAGTTATTGACTGAGCAGGAACGAGCATTCAGATCTGTCTGACTTAAAACCTGTACTCTTGCTGCCACCAAGAAGCTGCCCTCAGACCTGGTGGATTTTCTTCTTCTTCTTTTATTCCCACCCCCCCCCCCTTTTTTTTTTTGCTTCTTGCCTAATAGCTCAGTTTCTAGGGAAAGGCACCACCAAATAGAACTTCTGTTCTTTCCCAGAGCATTTGGTCCATATTTCTCTGCACCTTACATAAACCACTCCTCTCTGAAATGAGGTTAACAGGGTTTAGAAATCAGCACAAACCCCTAATAGTTCTTTTCTGGGAAATAACTTATAAGTTGAAAAGGGCTTTTGAGAAGTGGTTGGTATTTTTGAAAGCTTCTCAAAACCTCATGTTGGCAAGGGAGTAGAGAAAATACTGCCAGTGAAAATGTAAATTCCTGATGGGTGATTTGATGCCTCTAAAATGTTTCTACACTTTGTCCTAATAATAATTACACAAATGGGTCCTCAGGAAATAATTTTTAAAGTGCAGCTTGGTTGGAGTGGGGAGAGGTGGGAATGTGTAGCTTGGGAGTTCCCTGGTGGTTAGGATTTGGCACTTCCACTGCTGGGGCCCAGGTTTAATCCCTGGTTGGGGAACTGAGATCCTGCAAGCCATGCTGAGTGGCCAGAATTCTAAAATGTTTTTAATTAAAAAAATAAAAGTGGAACTTGAGTTCTGTATGGAAGTATTTATCATGTTATCAATTTAAAGCCCACTCCAGTATTCTTGCCTGGACAGTTCCATGGGCAGAGGAGCTTGGTGGGCTACAGTCCATGAGGTTGGAAAGAGTTGGACACGACTGAGCACACACACCACAATTTAGAGCACAACTTAGAAATAAATTAGTATTCAGTGGCAAGGGATTAGTTGAATACATTAAGATAAATCCTCCAGTGGGATATACTATAACATTTTTAAAAATATTTTATTTATTTATTCATTCGACTGCACTGGGTCTTAGCTGCAGCATGTGGGGTCTAGTTCCCTGACTAGGGATTGAACCTGGGTCTCCTGAATTGGGAGTGCACTGTCTCAGCCGCTGGACCACCAAGGAAGTCCCTATTTTTAATGGTTTTTGGATATATTTAATAAATGGGGAAATGTTGACAATCTAAGGTTTTTACTATTATTGAGGTATTTTCTATTCCATTTTATCTCTTAAGTTTTTTTTTAAAGAAGAAAAAGGGGTTTTAATTGTAACAAAATACAAAACAAAGCAGTGTTATAGCAACTAGTACATGTAAGTATGCAAGACACTTAGCATAGAAACAGCAAGAAGTCTTATCCATGTAAAGAAATTGTATATACATATAGAAGGTCCCCTGGAGGAGGGCATGGCAGCCCACTCCAGAATTCTTGCCTGGAAAATCCCATGGACAGATGAGCCTGGCAGGCTGCAGGCCATGGAGTCACAAAGAGTTGGACACGACTGCAGTGACTTAGCACAGCATAGCATGCATATATATATATATATACACACACACAAAATAAATTAGCATATTGTTAGAAGTCAGCCATGTAAAAAATAGATATATGTGTGTGTGTGTGTGTGTGTGTATGTATTCAAGTATATTTTCTCTAAGAATATTTTTTCTCCTTGACTTTATTTTTTTTCTTTATATATATATATTTTATGAAGTATAGATGGCTTACTTTTTAATCAAACCTTTTATTATTCTAACAGAGATAGAGCTGATGGCCTGTTTTTGTATGACTTAGAAGCTCTAAGAATGGTTTTTGTATTTTTTTTAAGGGTTTATAAAAAAAATGAAAAAAGATATGCAATAGAGACTATATATCACCCAGCAAGCCTAAAATATTTACTATCTGACCTTTTACAGAAAAGTTTTGCCCAGCCCTGTCCTAGAGATTACATGTCCTTGTAATTCATTATAGTTAGATGTATTTACCACTTCCCAACAATGCAAGAACCTACAACAGTTTTACTTTATTTAACACCCTCCTGCCCTTTGTGCTATTGTCATATATTTTAGTTTTACATATATTTTAAATCCCAAAGACCTACTTACAATGGTTTTCTAAACAGTCAATTTTCATGTATATTTACCACCATTTACCCTTCCTGATGGGCTTCCCTGGTGGCTTAGCCAGGTAAAGAACCCACCTGCCCGATGCAGGAGACACGGTTTGATCCCTGGGTCAGGAAGATCCCTGGAGAAGGAAATGGCAACCCTCTTCAGTATTCTTGCCTGGGAAGTCCCATCAACAGGGGAGCATGATGGGCTACAGTCCGTGGGGTCTCAAAAGTCAGACATGACTTAGCGACTGAACAACCACCACCCTTTCTGATACTGTTGATTCCTTCTTTCGGTTTTGTGCTTCCATCTGAGATCAGTTTCCTTCGGCCTGAAGACTCCTTTGTATTTTGTGTCTGCAATGCAGGTCTCTCAGTAAGGAGTTCTTACAGCTTTCTTTTTATCTGAGAACATCTCTCTTTTTTTTTTTAACTGTCTTTTTTTGTTTGTTTGTTTGGTAGGTTTTTTCAAGAATATTAATTTACTTGGCTGTATTGAGTCTTATGGGCTTCCCTGGTGGCTCAGCAGTAAAAGAATCTGCCTGTAATACAGAAGACGCAGGTTCGATCCCTGGGTCAGGAAGTTTCCCTGGAGGAGGGCATGGCAGCCCACTTCAGTACTCTTGCCTGGAGAATCCCATGGACTGAGGGAGGAGCCTGGCAGGCTACAGTCCATAGGGTTGCAAACAGTTGAACATGACTGAAGTGACTCAGCACGCACACACACATATTGGGTCTTCGTTTAAACATGTGGATCTTTGTTGTGGCAGGCGGGCTCAGTAGTTATGCCCCGGGGCATGCGGGACCTTGGTTTTCCATCCAGAGATTGAACTCTGAACTTGTATCCCCTTCTTTGTTCCTCTGTGTTTTAGTTGGATATTATCTGTTGACTTTTCTTCCATGTTCATTAATCCTGTCTTTTGTTAAATCCATCCAGTATTATACTGTACCATTTTAGAACTTCCATTTGTTTTTGTTTTAAAAAAACACCAGTTCTCTTGTATTTCTCCATCTTTTACCCGTTTCATTCATCTTTTCCTTTATTTCTTTTAACACACCAATTATAGTTATTCTGACATCCTGATCTGCTTATTCTAGTGTCTGGATTGTTTCTGTGTCTGCTTTTATTGACTGTTTCCTCTTGTCTGTCAGTCCCTTTAAATTTTCTGCCTCCCATTTCTTGTACCTTTTTATTGTATCAGGGACACCATAAATATGCTGTAGTTGCTCTGGGTTATATATACAGAGTGCTGTGTTTTCTGTAGGCTATTAAATTATTGACTCATCACCTTGATCATGTCAAGGGTGGATTTTAGGCTTTGTAGAATAGGTCTATTTCAGTTTGCTCTTACTCCTAAGATAAGGTTTACCTTATCTTAGGATGTGGCCTTTCTGGAGTCTCAAACTGAAATGAAATCTCAGGGTATTCACAAAGCCCTCTGTGCTTTGATTGAACCTAAACTTCAACTTCTGCTTCCCCAGCACTGTGCAGCCCCTAAAATTTGCTCAAGTCTCCAACCTGTCAGAGCCTCTTCTCTGCTGTGCTTTCCTATGTCTCTCCAAATTCTGGCACAGTTGTGATTCAATTAAGAAAGCAGTGGAGGGGCTTCCCTGGTGATCCAGTGGTTAAGAATCCATCTTGCAACGCAAGGGACACTGATTTGATCCCTGGTCCAGGAAGGTTCCACATGCCATGGAGCAACTAAGTCTGAGGGCCACAACCCCTGAGCCCATGGACTGCAACTACTGAAGTCCATGTACCTAGAGCTTGTGCTACACAAGAGAAACCACCACAATGAGAACCCCTCGTGTCACTTGTTGCACCTAGAGAAAGCCTGCATGCAGCAGCGAAGACCCACTAGAGTCAAAAATAAATAAATAAAACTTTTAAAAAAGGAAAGCATTGGAGCAGTTTGGGATTTTTGGAGGGCCTCTTCACTCTGGAACCCTTTCCAAATCCTTAGCCTCCTTACATCCTCTGTCTCCTCTGCTTAGTTAAGACTGCTGCTCTCTGCTTGGTCTCTCTTTCTCAGCACTCAGTTTGAAAACAAAAATGCCCTCAAGGAGAAAGCAAGGATGGGTATGGGGTCACCTGGCTTCCCTGCTCTCCAGATTTGTAGCCCTACACTGGTTGCTATCTAATAGAGTTATTTATGGTGGGTAGAGTAAGTCCAATAGGTTCATGATGTAATACTAACAGACAGTAGGGACAAAAAGCTTTGTTCATATTATGATCACCATTGAAAAGTTATATATTCAGCAGAAAAAAGATTGGAAAGCATATATCAAACTGTTAAGTGACAGTCCAGGTTAGATGAGATTGGGGAATTTATACTAACATCTGCTTTTGTGTGTTTCTAACTCCTAGTACCTCCCTGCACTTGGTTACTCAAAACGAGTCCATCTGATGAATCCTATGGTTCCAGGTTTAACTGGCAGCAAAATGAGCTCTTCAGAAGAGGTAGGTTACGAGCTCTGACTTGAGAAATCTTTAGCAAAAGATGAAGAAATTGAGGACTAGAAAGAAAAGTAACCTGGCTAACTAAGATGTACAAATAAATATTCAAGCTATAAGGAATCTTTTTTTTTTTTAGTAAGGAATCTTAAGTTATCCAGTTAATTCCAGTGGTTCTTGAGTATTGAAGCAGTTCTGATGGGATCCAATTATAATTTTAAGTTTTACTGCTACTAATAAGAAGTACAGGCAAAAGTAGTTTCTTCAGCCATACAACTGTGACAAAGTTCAGCCTTATTAATGAGAAGGCTGCAGTTGCATTTCACCAAGTAACATTTTTTATTTAGTTTTTAATTTATTTTAGAGTATAATTGATTCACAATGTTGTGTTTCAGGTATATAGCAAAGTGATTTAGTTTTATATATATATATACATTCTTTTTCAGATTTTTTTCCCACATAAGTTATTACAGAATATTGGGAAGAGTTGCCTGTGCTATGCAGTAGGTCCTTGTTGGCACCGGTTAGCACTTTGATTCTTACAGTGGTATTTAATATGATGATTTTGATAAATAGGATGTCTTAACATTTAAAAGTCCTGCTTAGGGAAGGTACACTTTTCTTCTGATCATTAAGGGCACAGAATACAAGAATTGGTAGAACCCAAAGATGAGGAAGTTTGGGTTCTGGGTTCACAAACATGGCTGATCTTTAGAATCACCTGGGGAATTTTTATAAAGGAGAGAGTGTGTGTGTAGAGTAAGGCCCTGTCCTTAGAGAATATTTTTTTTAAAAAAATACTTATTTATTTATTTGGCAGTGCCAAGTCTTAGTTGCAGCACATGGGGTCTTTGATCTTTGTTACAGCTTGTGAACTCTCAGTTGCAGCATGTGGGATCTAGTTCCCTGACCAGGGGTTGAATCCAGCACCCCCTGCATTGGGCGCATTGATAAAGTGGTTCTGGGGAACAACTCAGGAATCTTGTTTTCTTTCACAGCCTACTAGTTGATTCAGATTGAAGTCATTTTGGACATTCAGCTAGTTCTTTAAGTCTGATTTCTAGATTATCCTATTTGGTCACGTTTACCATGTCTTCATCCTAGAAATAGCACCAGCATCAGTTCCAAAACGTGACTGCATCAGAACCACACGGAGAGCTTTTAAAAATGCAAATACCTGGGTCAACCCCCAAAAATTTTGATTTAGTAGCTTTGGGTGGAGCCCAGTAGCTTATATTATTTTAAGCACCCCAGGTGATTCACATCCAGTCGTATATTGACTGAGCTTGGTAACCACTGGACACAAATGAGCATGAGTTCACTCACTCCAAAATAAGAAACAAAGCCTATTGCCCTATGAAGGACAAAGGCGCTAAATAATACCTGGTGTTGGCGATAGCCAGGAAACGTCTCCTCACACATGGCGGGTGGCAGTGTCACTTGCTTTATGCCTGTCGGAAAACAGTTCGGGGCCCAGCAGTGTTTGGTAGCTTAAGAAAGTAATCCTAGAGAAGGCAAGAGGACCTCTGCATGCAAAGAGGTTCGTTGTAGCATTGTATATAGTTTGTAAAGATGAGAGCAAATCTGACTGTTTAGAAACTGCTAAATAAATTACATTGTCACTAAAAATTAGGAATATAATACAACATAAAATCTACAAGTGAAGACTAGGTAGCCACTCGCAGGTACTTATGATGTAGTCCCAAGGACATTTATTCTCCAGATACAAATTTGCCATGATTCTGTATGCTACAAACAAGGCCTGGGAAGAACAGAGAAAATATTTTTATGTAGTATTGTGAGTGGTCCTTGACTCCAATTAATTCTGCTCTTATTAAAGTCATTTAATGTTTACATCTTTGTCCAAAAAATTAAAATACAGATGAGTTGAGCATATTCTCATTTTCAACCACAAGAGGTCCTCCTCTCCTCCCTGGCTTCTAGGAGTCCAAGATTGATCTGCTTGATCGGAAAGAGGATGTAAAGAAAAAACTGAAGAAGGCCTTCTGTGAGCCAGGGAATGTGGAGAACAACGGTGTTCTGGCCTTCATCAGACATGTTCTCTTTCCCCTCAAGTCTGGTAAGATATTCCCTGTTTTCTTCTCAGCGTTTAGGCTGAAATAGCAAAACCAGTGCTGGGTCATACCTGTGGCTTGTCACAGTCTTCCTCCAGAGATTGGCTTCTCTGATTCTCTGCTCTGATTTCTCATATGTTAATGTGTGATTGAAGTGGGGATATCATTGAGATGTCTGTGTGTTTGCCCCCTTCATTCCTACCACTCATGCCCACTCTGGGCATGAGTGGTAGGAATGAAAGGGGCAGGTATGTGGAGTGGAGGAATACAAAAGAGATGTAAGACACAATTGTTTCCCCTGAGCTTAGATGCTAGCTGGGTATACAACACTGCCACTGATCCAATTTAAAAAACAATAAAATACTGTCCGATTAAGTTTAAAATACATGGCAGAAACTACAAATACACATTTGGGCCAGGGATGCTGACTTGCCATCGTCTGTGAGTTTGTTGGCATGAATCCTTTTTCTTACAGAGTTTGTGATCCTTCGAGATGAAAAATGGGGTGGAAACAAAACCTACACAGCTTACTTGGACCTGGAAAAGGACTTTGCTGATGAGGTAATACCAGAGGAGGATTATCCCCACTGAACTCATTCTGACAAACCTCTCCGCGTGGCCTCACCAAGTTTCTTTCTACCATAGGGCCCTGTCATGATGATCTCGAGGCTGTATATTTTGTTAATGGCTCAGATGAGGATTCAGATGGTTCGTGGAGTAGATTAGCAAATGGCAGAAAGCTAGTATGTTGGTGTCTTAATCACTCTCCAAAGGACTTAACCTGGAATGAAGGACTAAACCCAACAAGATGAAGCATTTCAGGTACTAAATCAAGGTTCAGAAAAGAGACACAGCTATAAAAGAACAGAAGAGAGAATACTATTTCCACAATTTAACAAAAGACCTACTAGGTGCCCATGTGTTTGGCACCATGCTAGGGGCTGACATTACAAAGAGGATTAAATCTTCATGAAGCTCATAGTCCATAGGAGAGGATGACATGTAAATAAATGTCATTTACTGGTTACTGTACCATATATACATGGTCCAGAAATAGAACGGGAGGAAGTGACTAACTGGCTGGCTCGGAAAGTTTTGTGGTGGGGATGACGTTCACACACTGTCTCACTCATTAGGGGTTCTTCAGGAAACCTGTGAGGGAATTCATTGTGTGAGGCATGGTAAGAGGAAGCAGTGTGGTATCTAGGGACTGACAAGTGGTTTAGAGTCTGACTGGAGTCTGCAAGGTGAGGGAGCCACTGTGGTAGAGGAAGACAGGGTCAGATGATAAAGGAAACGAGTAATGACTGTATATAGTGGGTGGAGTGGGGGTCTTGACTGGCTCTGAACACGGGCTGAATTGGCAGTATGACAGGGCTGTCAGAAATGTTCACGAGGTCTTGGCCTCATCGTCAGAAATGTAGAGTCCAGACCAGGGAGTTGATCATTCAGTTCTCCAATGTTCTGAGTACCTTTGGTAAGATACTTGTTCTTATCTGCATTAACACAGTTGCCACTGGCCATTTTGGTTGTGTTGGACTTTTTGTGAGGTTTTTTGTCAAATAAGCCTCACAAAAATAAATTTTGTAATGTTTATTTGACAATCTGGAGTGTATTGATGGGGAGAGGAAGGATGCCGTGATAGGGAACAGGTTGCAAACCAGGTCATAAAGCACAAGTTGAAAGAATGGGCATGTTGAACTGGAATGCAAGTATGTGTTCACCCATCCTCAAACCCAAGAAGGACTCTCCTGAATAAGGGGTGAGGTTTCTTCTTGTGGCAAGAGAGGGCTGAACCAGGACTGCAGATGCAGACTGCAGGGAGGCTTGTTTAAGCTTGAAGACCTCAGTTGTGTGGTGATGGGCAGGGCTGCCTTGCCTGACCTTGCATTCCCCATCACTGAGGTAAGTGTTCAGGCAGAGGCCAGAGGCAATGTCATATGAGGGTTTGAGCGTCCAATGGAAGAAAAGACTTAGTGACCTCTGAGTTCTGAGGTTCCTTCAGGCCCATTTTTTTGATATTTGGCAGCTGTTGCTCTGAAACTGTCTGTCTGCAGCCTGAGGCACGCCATGGAACCCACACTCAACTTTTCAACCTCATGAGCAGTCTTTTGTGGAAGTGATAAAAAGTCTTCCCTGATGGCTCAGATGGTAAAGAATCTGCCTACAAAGCAGGAGACCCGGGTTCAATCCCTGGGTCGGGAAGATCCCCTGGAGAAGGGAATGGCTACACATTCCAGTATTCTTGCCTGGAGAGCCCCATGGACAGAGGAGCCTGATGGGCTACAGTCCACGGGGTCGCAGAGTCGGACACGACTGAGTGACTAACTCTTTCACTTTCTCTCGCTGAGAAGGAATAGAAGAAATGTTCCTAAAGAAAGACAACATAACTAGCAGCACTTCCTGTGATGGTAAATATGTTCTTATCTGCACTGACAGAGTTGCCACTGGCCACATGTGACCAGTACAACAGAGGAACTGAATTCTGACTTACATTTAAATATCCGTATGTGGCTTGTGGCCACCATATTGGACAGTGCGGGTCTAAAGCTTTTCTTTTGTTAAAAAGGAAGGACTTCCCTGGTGGTCCAGTGGTTAGGACTTGGTTCTATCTCTCCTAGAACCAAGTTCAACCCCTCGTCAGGGAACTAGATCCCACATGCTACACGGTGTGGCCAACAACAACAAAAACACCATTCCCGAGAAAATGAAGGCGTAGCATCAGAAACAAAAACATAGGATTTGTTTTATTACATGTATTCATACCTAAGGGACATCTGTCAGAATACCTTAGAAGATCCTTTCGGGCCAGATTTAGCATGTAAAGGTTCTAGTCATGGGACACGAGAAGAAAAAATGGAATTACTGAGCTCCTACCATGTACTAGCACTACGCATCATTTTCACCCATGTTAAGTGATTTAATCCTCATTCCGACGCTGGAAGGTACAAGTATTGTTATTTTCATTTATTTTTAAGTGAAGAATCCAAAACTCAGAGAGGTTAAGTGCCTGGTTTGAGGTCACCCAGTTAGCTGGGACTCTCACCCCAGGTGATCTAATTTCAGAGCCTTTGTTCTTCCTTCTTGCTCACTCATCTCCCCCTCAGGCTGTCTGTAGCCCCTGGGTTCCCTGTGTGAATGTTTCCCTGTATATAAATAATACCTGCTTTATGCCACTACTCAGAGCGTAAATGGAAGAATTTGAGTCATCCCAGGTGGCGCTAGTGATAAAGAACCCACCTGCCAATGCGGGAGACTGAAGAGACTTTAGTTCAATCCCTGGATAGAGAAGATCCCCTGGAGAAGGGCACAGCAACCCCCTGCAATGTTCTTACCTGGAGAATCCCAGGGACAGAGGAGCCTGGCAGGCTGTAGCCCATGGGGTAGCATAGAGTCGGACATGACTGAGCAGTTTTGCACGTACAGAGAAATTTGACTAATTAGAAACATTAGCCTCTAAAAACTCTCAAATTACTATGGAATTCAGTGTCAGAAGACCTAGGTCTCTGACAAACTAGATAACCTTTTGAACCTGTGTCCCTTCTCTACTGTACCAGCTTCACAAGGTTGTTCTAAGGTTCAAATAAGACTCTGCTGGGAAAACACTGCATTCTATCCGCACATTTTTCTTAGTAGATCCAGGTGTCCTGTACCCCATTTACCTGTTCAGTGCCCCTTCTCACCCGGCCTTGTACACTTGCAGGTCGTACACCCTGGAGACCTAAAGAATTCTGTTGAAGTTGCCCTGAACAAGTTGCTGGATCCCATCCGGGAGAAGTTTAATACCCCTGCTTTGAAGAAACTGTCCAGCGCTGCTTACCCAGATCCCTCAAAGCAGAGTAAGGCCAGCTGGGGAGGGCCCCGGGAACGGGGGTTTGGGGGGTGGGGTGCTAGCATGAGAGACATGTAGAGAGCCTGTCAGTGCCTCAGAAAAGGGTTTGTCTTCAGTTCAGGCCCAAGAAGCCAGGAGGGTCTGAAATGCAGGAATGTCATGCCCCATTGACTGCTGGAATGGAAAACTCGTCATCTTGAATTTGGTTTGGTCAGTATCATGAAGCAGTTTTGCTGTTGTTTTAGTCATTGTCATGACCGATTCTTTTGCAACACCATGGACCGTAGCCCCACCAGACTCCTCTGTCCATGGGATTTCCCAGGCAAGAATCCTGTAGGGGGCTGCCATTTCCTTCTCCAGGGGACCTTCCCGACTCAGGGTTTAAACCCGTGTCGCCTGCATTGGCAGGTGGGTTCTTCACCGCTGAGCCACCTGAAGCAGTTATACCCTGCTGTACCAACAGTGCTGTGAGTGCTGGTGTGAGACACATGCTTTGGTCCTTTCACGAAACCCACGTCTTCAGTTAAGGAGAGAGGTTGCATCAGACCCTGAGGCTGATGTAGCTGCTCAGTCAGGGCCTGCACAGCTCTTTAGGGAAGCTGATCTCTAGATTCGCCAAGTTCCCTCCTGCATTTTCATGACTGGCTCTTAGTTGACCAGCCATGTAGCCACGAAGCTGAGATGTTAACATTGATAGTCTTTGTGGGGGCCTCCCAGAAAAGACTCAGTACTTATATATAGAGCGTGTGAATGGCGGCAAAGCTACACCAACCCCTTCTCTCCCCTCCAGCCCAATACTTGAGGGGGAGAGAAGTAAAATCTGGCACGTCTCTTCTCAACAGCGGCCGCCTCTGTTTTAATTCAGTGGGTGGATTCTGGGGATTCTGCACTAAATCCTGCTCATGTCCTTATTTGAGGGCATCAGCAGCTGATCTGTCATGGGAAGGAAGAGAGCTCTGAGCCTTGGGTTCTTCTCATCCCCAGAGCCAGCTGTCAAAGGCCCTGCCAAGAATTCGGAACCAGAGGAGGTCATCCCATCCCGGCTGGATATCCGTGTGGGGAAAGTCATTAGTGTGGACAAGGTACTCATTTTCCACCACGTCCTGACAGGGGTCAGGTTTGTCTGCTTCCATCTGGAGGAAACCTGGCCTGGGATGGAAAGCAACATCCCTTCGGTCATACTGCAAGTCAGCACCTAAGCATCTAGTTCGAGGCATCAGGCTTTTCCCCTGGCTATCTCTGGACCTTATGCAACCAAACACAGCCAGGAACTCAGAGTACAGAGCGGATGTTAGTCAGAAGGAACTTGTTTATTACGTCCAGTCTGATGGACTCACCTGGTATCTCCCAGCTTGTCTGGACTAGTTGCAGACCTTATCGTCAGTCAGCCACTTTGTCCTTCCCTATCCCCACCCCAGAAAATGGTGAAGGAAGAAAGAAGGACTTCCTCTTTCCCAGAGGCACAGAAAGCTTTGTAGCCAGTGGCCGAGGACCAGTGGTCTGGGTATTTTTTTTCTCCCAGTATATATTTGCTTTTCACCACATAGACCAACCACCAAAACTACCTTGAAAGAGCTGCTGATACTCTCGTTTCAGATGATGAAGCCAGTAGCCGTCCCCCATCTTCCAGTCCCCCCCAGGATTGGGGTTCATCCAGCACACATTTAGCCATAAGGATGGCCCACCCAGGCACTCCAAGCCATTTTAATCTCTGTTAAGAGACTCCTTTCGCCTCTAATGCACGTAATTAGCCTCATATTACTCAAATCTGCCTCTTCAGGGCCCCTTCTCATGTCTGCTATCTGAGACCTGGAGAGTTGGCTCTAGAGGGTTCCTCTGGGGCCCCTATAGAGAGTGGGTGCCCCTTTCTGTAGCCAGAGGGCTCACCAGGCCCCATGATCTGTTCCACTGTGATAATCTCCAAGACTTGACATCTCTTGTGGCAGCACCCAGATGCAGACAGCCTGTATGTGGAGAAGATTGATGTGGGGGAAGCTGAGCCACGGACTGTGGTGAGCGGCCTGGTGCAGTTTGTGCCCAAGGAGGAACTACAGGACAGGCTGGTGGTGGTGCTGTGCAATCTGAAACCCCAGAAGATGAGAGGAGTCGAGTCCCAAGGCATGCTCCTGTGTGCTTCTATGTGAGTGAGCACTGGGGGGTTAGAGGGCCTTGGGAGGCCAGGAAGAGGCGGGGTGGCCCACAAGCTGCCCTTCCACATACCAGGTGGAGGCCCTGAGAACACTCCCCAAAAGATGATGCCTGGAGGAATTACTTATTGTACAGGAACCTTGGATGAAGCACTTTACCTTAAGTTAACTGTATTAAAATAGAAATTGAAGATTCAGAGCTATGTGCATGCTTGAGTCGCTCTACTAGTAATGAGTGAAGCCAGGACTCAAACCCAGTTCATTGGCTATTACATCATATCCCTTAAAAGCCCAAATTAAAAAAAAAAAAAAAGCCCAAATTTTGGAATCTCTCCTGACATAGGATTTCAGTTAAGCCCTGGTTGACCCAGTGCTGGTAATGTCCAGAGATGTGGTACAACAGTGAGGAGCTCCTGGGGCTCTGGCATTGAGGGTACCCTAAATCCTATTAGAGCCCATGAGGTAAAGGCCCCAATGCTTTGGCCTCCACGGCGGCTGGAGGCCATGTCTCATTGTCCTGTGTGTCCTTCCAGAGAAGGGGTAAACCGCAAGGTTGAGCCTCTAGACCCTCCTGCAGGCTCTGCTCCTGGTGAGCGAGTGTTTGTGAAGGGCTATGAGAAGGGCCAACCGGATGAAGAGCTGAAGCCCAAGAAGAAAGTCTTTGAGAAATTGCAGGTAACAAGCTGCACTTTTTCCCTCTTTCCGGGGCTGCCCGGACTGTCTGCAGATTGCTGTTAACTGATTCCCCACCTGCCCATTTCCCAGCTGGGCCTTCCTGCATCTAAGCCCTTCTCTTCCTTCATTCCAGCCCTCTCAAATGAGGTGCCCAAGGAGCCCATGGGCCCTCACAGGTACTGAGCACTGACAGACTGTTAGAGGCATCGTGTGAGGGACTGGAGATGTTTCCTTGTTAGATCTTCAGTCTATGATGGGAGATGATCCCCAGCACAGCCAGAGTCACTGGAAGTGATAGAGCCAGGATCAGAGCCCTCCTGGAGTCCTTCCTGCCCAACCTGGTGTGAGAGCACTGATTCTCAGAGCACTGACTCACATCACCTGTCCAGAATTCATTCATTCATTCATTCAGCACCTGTTGAGTCCCTAACATGTATGTCTGGTACTGTTCTAGGTGCTGGGGCTACATCACTGCATAAAGCAGCAGAGATTCACTCTCCTTGTGCAGCCAAATCACTGCACGTGTGGCTTTATCTAGTTAATACTTGGTTTCCTCAAGAGACAAGTGTTTCTGGAGGGCTTTTAGAATGGTTTCTGCCTCTCCGTGCTCCTGCAAATGACAACTGGCTTTGTCCACTCCCTCCTTTCCTAGTTTCCCAGGCTGGTTTTTTGAACAAGTTATTTTTTTTTCTAGGCTATAAACTAAATTTTCACTGTAGAAATGTCTAAAATGTAGGGGGAACAAAAATAACATCTATAATTCTGCTACCTACTGGTTCTGAAAAATGTCATTAGTGATTGGTTTCCTTCTGGACTTCTTTTATGTAGAGTGATAATGTGTTTATATTGGTAGTTTGAGTCGTACTATATGTTTATTATTTTTTTTAACTTTATTCTTCAGAATTTTACCCATCTTCTTAAATACTGAGGAGTGAGAATCATATATATATAGTATAGTACCATAATGATCATTTTATCCAAAACCTTATTTGGACATTGAGGTTGTTCTCAGATTTTCACTTAGAATGCTACAGTAGATGCATTGTACCAGTTCTTTGTACTTATTCATGATTATTTTCTTAAACTAAATTCCTAAGGTGAACTTACCTTAGGCAAATGATAGGAGATGAAAGTTTTCACAAACTGCTCTCTTAGAAAAGTTGAGTCACCTTACACTACTAGTAGTATAAGAGTCTGTTTTCTTGCAGTCCTGCCACCATCACTATAATGACTTTTTTTGTTGTTATTTTTCTTGCCTAGGCTGACTTTAAAATTTCTGACGAGTGCATTGCACAGTGGAAGCAAACCAACTTCATGACCAAGCTGGGGTCCGTCTCCTGTAAATCGCTGAAAGGGGGGAACATCAGCTAGCCAACCTGGCGTCTTCCTCCCTTCTCTCATCATCCTTAGTTATCTGCTGTCTCCTTCATTTGCTCCGTCCATCCCCTGCTTATCCATCTCCCAGGACACTGAGGCAGGGTGTTCAGGACTCTTTTAGGCACAAGACTTGGTGAGGGGCAGCTCAGCCTCCCTAGGATCCAGGAGCATCCTGTCTGGCTGCAGGGAGAGTGCTGACCTGGGGAGTGATGGAGGCAGGGCAGCATGGGGAGTCCAGCCCTACCTTCTTCCCTTGGCAGCTGATCTGACAAATCTGGTTTCAATATAATGTAACTCAGAAAAAGGTTATGCCATAATCCTTCTAATTGGAAAAATATTGGTTTCCAGTTTTCCTAGAGTTATCACGGCAGCCATGTCTCTGGCTGGGATCTGGTGCCTGAACCAGGCTAATTACAGCCTCTCCCCAACAGGAAACTGTGGGATTTGAAAAGGGGAGGGAAGGGAAAACAGAGAACCTAGTGGTCTACCAAGTGGCTGGCAGCTTTCCCCAAGCATGCCAACTCTGAGGCTTGGCGCTGGGGGACAGGGCCTGCCCCAGGGCTCCTGGAATGTCCTTTGATCATGCTAGGTGGGGACACTCCCTGAACCAGCTGTGTGTTGTTGGATGGCACAGACTGGTTTTTTCTTCAGGGAGTGTGGGGTACTTCTCCATAAGCCATCTCAGAACCACTAAATGTTGCTGTCATAAATTGAAATAAAATACCTGAACAAGGGTGCCTGGATGGGACCTGTCTGTGAGCTGGACCAACTCAGGACAGAATACAGTATAGCAGCTTCTGGGCTCCTCCCTCTGCCTAGGGCTGCATGTATCTTGGACTTCTGAACCTGTAATGGGGGCATGGGTGGACTGGGCTGAAAGCAGATACCTTGACTTTCCCTTTAGCTGTGTTGAGCAGAAAAGGCTCACTTTGGGGTCCAGAACATTTTCCTTTCTAAATGTGGGTGCAGACCACCATCCTGACCCTCCCCATTAAGCAGCAGCAGACACAGCCAAGTTTTAATCATTTAATTAACACCTTTGAATGAAACCCACACAGAGTTTTTCCATGTGTCTCACGCTAGCTTCAGGGCAGAAGGAACAGATTGTATAGACATATCAAAGACTCAAAAATTTAAAGAAATATATATATATATATCTATATACTTCTCTCTCTAACATTTTTATGGAAATTAAAAACCAGAGGCTTTTGGTCTCCATGTGCACTAGGTCAAGTTCATTTACCCCAGAGGACAAAGGATTGCCTCTTGGGAGATCCTCCCTTCTCCTTTCAACTCTGTCCCACCCAGTGGGGAAACAAGCCCAGAGGACTAACTGAAGATAAGGAGTAACAGAGGGAGGGAAAGAGACAGAAGGTGGGCTCCCTCCCACCTCCAGCAGCTCCCTGATGTCATGGAAGCTTTGGCCTGGTCCTAGTCCCTCATTCCCAGGAGGTTGATCAGGAGCTCTGAGCAGAGCTGGTTTACCGACTGTCTTCCCCATCTTACTGGGCAGGCACAACACATACCCAGCAGGCAGGGAAGAACACTGATTTATAGCTACAGAGAAGATAGCAGAGAGGGCCAGAGGAACCTGGGCTCTCCAACTACATCCCCTGTGTTCCCAGCTCTTGTTCTGGGAGAAGGTCAACCTGTCTCCTGGGTGGAGGAGAAGCAGCTAAAAAGGTAATACAGAAGGGGTGACCCTGGTGACAGCCACACTGCAGTGGTAGGAAGCACTAGGGTCACCCCTGTAGAACCTTGGAGGAAACTAGCTTACCAACATAGGTGGCACAGGTTGAAAATGGAAAGATCGGTAAGATTCCTGGAGGAGAGATCAGTAGCAGAGACCGACATCTACGGGGGAGAAAACCCGGCCCGCCCCTAGGAGCATCAAGTGCCCCTGCTTTGACTAGGGAAAAGTCTGGAATAGAATGCACCCTTGGCTTCCCATCCTGTCACTCAGCGTCAGCAACCCCCCTGGAGTGGAACCACCTGCACCAACAGGCAGCTGCAGAAAGGACATGCACAGAGCAGAGCGAAGGAAGGTCCGGATGAAATCCATAGGGCCAGGGCCAGCCCACTGCCCAAAGCAGCTCTTCCCTGCTGGCCCCAGCCCCACCCTTTCATCCACGTCTTCAGTACTTCCTGCCAAGCTGAAAGGGACACTGCTCTGCCACGGCCCATGGGCTCCTTCCTCTAAAGAGTCATGCTTGCCCACCCCAACCTGATCAAGTGAAATGGGGCCAAGTGACCCATGACATGACTCCCTCTTCCGTTCTCAGAGAGCAGAGTGAGCCTGTGGACCTCCCCTCTGGCGTTCACCACCACCCATTTGGACCTTGACAGGCTCCCACTTCCTGTCCCCTGCATGAAGCACCTGGCAGAACTAGAAGGCAGGAAGCTGGTTGGTGGTAAGTTGAGGCACAGGGGGGCTAACCCCCGCTGCACCTTTTGTGCTTTGGAATGCCACAGCCCCACTCCTGCCTCCAGCCTGGAGAAGCCTGTGGGAATACGACTTGCCTACCTCCAAGAACTAAGAAAAAGGAGCAAACTGGATTGGAGGAGCGGGGGTGGGTACAGGTTAGTCCCAGCCATGGGCTGGCTGCTGGGGACTGATGCTGCTGCCATGTAAACAGGCCCTTGGAATGTGGCTTCACGGGCCCTGGGGGATGGACATAGAGCCACTTTTCAAAAGTGCTTTGATTCTGGACTACAGCATGTGCATGATTTGGATATGAAAAAAAAGTGAGGTGCTCTGGTCCCCCATCTCTGTGGCCTTGAGGCCAGCAGGGGGCGCAGACATCCACTCCCACCAGCTACCTCCTCCAAGATGAGGCTAAGGCCAAGACTCAAGCGGCAGCTGCCAGAGGTGAGTCCATTCAGGAAAAGGCATGAGAGCTGGGTGACTTGGAGGACAGGGTCCACACAGGCTTGCATAAATACCGAAGGCCATGGAGGTTAAGGCTGCAGGCGTCCCCCCATTAGGTTGTGTCTGCCGTATCCTCTCATCCTCGGAGCCGCTCAGGTCCCTGAGAATGTATTCCTGGGATGGGTCAGCAGTGCCAGCGAGGAGTCTGGTGGTCAGACCAGCTCTTTCTGTGGGTCTGCAGAGGGAAAGAAGGGACACTCAGCCAGGGGCCCCCGAGTTTGGTTCTGGCCACTAAGATCCCAGGGCACATCCTCACCCCCTCGCTTTACTGACCACGCCAACAGCACGGGGCTTGACATTTTACAAATGCTCCCTCTGCCTCTATAAAGTATCCTCACACTTCACAGTAAGGAACTCAAGGCCAGGATGGGTGGATAAAATAGTAGAGCTGGAATTCAAACTCAGTAGGTCTGATTCCAGAGGCCCTCATACCAAACTCCAATGGAGCTCATTGAAGGTGACAGGTCACCATTCCTAGACACCCTGAGACCAGAAAAACCTTCAAGATCCAAAAGCAAGTGCCTAAGGGCAGGACTTCCAATACCTGTGTCCCAAGATCAGTGCTGGAATCCACACCCTACCCCTCCCAGCCCACTGTACCTGTACCGGGCAGGCCCAGCTTTTGCTCCTCTGGGCCCACCAGCTGCAGGACACTTCCATTCTCTGCCAGCTCCTCCTTAGTCCTGTCCTCGGCATGGGGGAGCCCGTTGGTGGGAGGCGCAGTAAGGGGCTCAGCCCGAGGAAAGCTGGGGGAGGTGGGAAGGGGGACACCCCCAGAAGGCTTGCGAGCCACGGGCGGGGGGGCCTTAGGTGGCTTCTTCGGGGCCTGGGGTGGCCGTTGCTCTGAGATGCTCCTTAGTTCAGCTACCAGGTTCCGCTGGAGGTCAGCCTGGGTCTCCGGGGACACAGGCCGCTCCAGCTGCAGCTTCTTAGTGCCCTTAGAGAAGATGAAGCTGGCCGTAGAGGCAGGGGACCGTGGCTCTGCCTCAGGTGGTCCATTGGGCTGGGCACCCACAGGGCCTGCGCTGCCAGCCAGGTTAGAGGCCTTGAGCCGAACAGCCGCGTGGAGCCCCGAGGCAGCGGCAGATGCAGGGCTGGCCCGCCCTGACAGGGCCCTTCGGAGTGGCTTCTGGGGGGGCGATGGCCCCGATGCTGGATTTGGAGCCACCGTGGGAGCGCCCACAGAGCGCAGCCGAACCGTCTGCAGGAGTGAGGGTGTGACCAGGGGCGCGCTGGCATCCTCCCGGGGAAGGCCCCCGCCCTTGCTGCAGCCCACAGGCTCCTTCCGAGGGACCTTAGCCAGAAGCCCTGTGACAGAGCCGGCAGCAGGTGGGGCTGGCGGGGCTGGAGGAGGGTCTGGGGTACCAGAGGGCTGGCTCTGATAGGAAACAGCAGGTAAGGAGGCCTCCGGGAGGGGTGAAGAGCCTGCGGGCTCAGGGCTAGTCACTGAGAAAAAGGCTTCCTCGGGTGGTGGGAAGTCAGCCATAGACAGGTCCTGCTCCTCTGGGGTAGGAGGCGGGGGAGGGGGCCAGTTGGGATCTTGGAGGGGCACCTCAGCGGTCTCCAGGGCAGACAGGGCCCCCTCAGCCACCTCTGGCTTCTTAGTGGGGGGCGGGGGTGGATGATAAGATGGGGGTGGGGACGGAGGGGGTGACTGGTCTTTGGAGGCAGCAGGAGATGCCTGAGGTGGGGTCAGGGATGTCTGCGGAGTGGGTGGGGACTCAGGACTGGCAGCGGTGGTAGAGATGGGCCCAGGGACTACAGCAGGAGCAAGGGCAGCTTGGTTTGGACTCTTGGGCTTAGAGGGAGGTGGGGAGAAGGGGGCGGCCACCTTGGGGTGAGGAGGTATGAAAAACCTGTCACCCAGGGCGGTCGACATGTGAGGACCAGAGCGGTCTGAGGGTGCTGGATCAGAGGAAGAGGAACACAGAGACGTGAGGGAAGAGGAGACGGAGGCCTCGGGAGATCGAAGGGAAGTGACACGTTCTGGTTTGGGGGGCTGGGCCTTGCCTGGGGAAGCAGGGGCCCCTGCTAGACCCTTGGGAGGGAGGGTAGGGGTACCACTTTGGCTCGAGTATCCACTGGAGGGTGAGAGTGTCCGTTCCGGGGAGCGTGGGGGGCGCCGGGAGCCACTCGGAGACAAGCCAGACACCCAGCCGCCTGCCGAGCTGGGTGGACAGGGCGGGGCCGCCATCCCTGCCGAACCTCCAGTGGTGGGCGGCCGGGGTGGCTGCAGCTGCTGCTTCCGCTCGGGCTTGGGAGGCAGCCCCAAGGGCCCATCAGGGACCGCTGAGCTGCGCTGATGTAGCGAGTGGGTCCGGCGGGGAGGAGGCGGGGGCCGCTTCAGCTTACGTAGGGACACGCTTCGGCCAGACAGCTGGCCCCCGCTCCGAATGCTGACAGTGTCCGAGGCTTCCGCGGTGCTGCCCCCGCTGGGAGAGCCCCGCCCGCTGCCACCCGGGGGAGGGGGCGCCACGCTGCTGTTGGCCACGGAGCCCTCTGGCCGGCCCTCAGAGCCACCCTTAGAGGAGAGGGTGGAGCCGTCAGACACGATGGTCTCGGAGGACTGAGAGTGGCTCCAGGTGTCGCTGGAGGAGGAAGGGTGGCGGCTACGGGGTCGCGGGCTGGAGACCGAGGAGAAGCGGCCCAGAGAGCGGACGGAGGCCGGGCTGGCTGAGAGCAGGCTGCAGCGGCTCAGGGTGCGCAGGCTGCAGCGGCCCAGGGCCACCACGTCCACGGTGGGCGGCAGCACGGCGTGTGGGATCAGCTTCGACAAGTAGGTGGCTTGGGGCGAGATGGACATGGCCGGGCTCAGGGGTTCTGGAGGCCCGGCCCCTCCCGTCAGTCCAGGCACTGCGAGGGACATGGGCCGGGTGAGCGGCGGGGGCCGGGCCCCCGTGGACCGGCCGACGAGAGTGTCATCACGGTAGATGCGGTCGATGTGGCGCTGCAGCATGGCCTCAGCCCCGACTTCGGTCTCTGCCTCCAGCGCCTGCAGGGACACCCTGGCCCCCGGCCCTGCGGCCGGGCCTGCCGGACGACCATCCACTGTGGGAATGCGCACAGCATCCCGTGGACCTAGAGGCCGAGGCGTACCTGGTGCCTCACGCTCATTCCGCAGGCCTGGAACGGACCAAGGAGGATGTGGGAGTCAGCGGAGATGTGGGTGGGAGTCAGCGGAGGGGTGGGCCAGGGCTCCCAACCCGCAGCCTCCTCATAGGGGTGCTCACCGAGTTCCTTCTGCACGTGCTGCGGCAGTCCCAGCACCGTGCTCCGCCGCTCCCGACGCCGCCTCCCCGACTTTCCAGAAGGTTTGGGAAACGAGTCGTGGGGCCGGAAGGTGGAGCCTGGGGGCCAGTCCAGGGGAGAGAAACTGTTTGAGCAGGTCTTGGAGCACATTCTGCCAAGCACGACTTTTACAGAATATTAATAAGAGCTCTGTGAAAAAAGATTTTCCACCATCAAGCAGGCATGGGCTTTAACTGGGTTAAAGCTAGATGCTCTTCCGCAAGGTTCTACTAGGTCAATAAGGATAATTTCCATTTAGTGAACACTTATTATGTGTTCTAAACACTTGGCATTTGTTCCCATAAGGTAAGTATTCTTGTCCTCCTTTTTACAGAACATCAAACAGAAACAGGGAGAGGTAAAGGGTTGGCCCAAGATCACACAGCTGTATCAACACGAGGCTCAAACCCAGGTTTCAACTCTGAACTATCCTGCTTTTCAGTTAATGTTCATCACGAATCTCCAAGAGGACATAGGGTACTATGTTTCCTGAATTCACTGAGTCACAGAGTCTTGGGAAACACTGGACTAGGGGGAAAGGGGAAAGCTGCAGTTACTGGGTGCCCGCCACTCCCCAGTCCCTTGCCCAAGAATCCCCGGCTGGTGAGCAGACACCTTTGCGCTGGATCATCTCAGAGCGGATGGAGAGCGCGTCCTCTGCTGTGGAGCTCTCAGCCGTGTAGGACGTGGTCTGGCTGCAGAAGGAGATGCTATCGTCATCTGGCCCGGTGCGGGAAGACTGTTGGGAAAAGAAGGATCAACCCAGAGGCGTGAATGGGGCTGACCCTTGCCTCCGCAGGCTCCCCGTTTTGAACTTCTGACTCAGATTCACTCCTCCTAACCTGCCCCAGCATCACCTAGCACTGAGCGGGAATCAACCAGAGCTACCCTGGACCAGCCCTCAGTGGGCAACTAGTCCAGCCTTAAGACATACTTGGCAGAGGTCAAGTCAAGCAGGGAGGGAGGAATACAGTCAGGACTGAGCTGGGGGCGGGGCGCACCTGTAAGCTCTGGGTGTCTCCATGGTCCCAGGCACCCTTGTTCAGTTTCTGTTTTTCTGAAAGACATCAGACAGGCATGCTGAGCCAGGCCCCTGACTTTGCGAGCTGAAAGCATCGCTGGACGGGGAGGGAGGCAGTTACCTTGGTGCTGGAGGGAACGGAGACCCTCCTGGGCCTGCGTGTGTAACTCTTCCAGGTGAGGCGGTCGCCCACTGGGAAAGAAGACATTGTCCTGGTGGTCATCCACTACAGACCCTGGCCCCTGGCCGGGCCCTACACTCAGTCGTTTGTCGCTCTCAGCCTTGGCAGAGCCTGGTGGGATGAAGGAGGAAGGAAAGTAAGGCCCAAAGGCATCTGGGTCCTGCGAATGCACAGACACTGCAGAAAGGGCACCCACAGTCCCCAGAGTGCACAGGGCACCTGCCCAGCACCCTTCTGTGCCAGCACCTGCCCAGTACAGACTCTCCTAGTCTGTGCTCATAACCCACAGTCCCCAGGTATATACTCCATACACACAGCCCCCAAGAACTGGGTTGGCTGAAAAGTTTGTTTTCCATAGCATCTTATGGAAAAACCCCCAAATGAACTTTCTGGCCAACGCGATACATACTCAAGCTGTATCCAAGTGTACATGTATCTGAGTACCGCACGACACAAAGGGCCCCATATAGGGGCACATATGCCCATTATAGATGCACACAACACCCACAGGCTTCATTCAGTGTGTATACAAACAAATAGCATCCAAGTATAACCACATCTGCGTGCCCACACCACAGCACACCCAGCCCCCAGGTATACACATGACTCCCACAGTCCCCATTCACTATCTATGCAAACAGTACCCATATATACACACAACTGTCACTCAGAGGCCCGTGTAAGACACTCCAGTGTACATACAGGCCAGAGCAAATACATTTCTCTTGTCTCCAGATTCTGAGCTCCACTTTACAGAAAGACAAACCACCTTTCTGTACACCCCCTTGGCCCAGGTCCATGAAAAAGACACACGGGACACTAGGAAAGGGTGGGCACTAACACGGGTCATAACTGGATTCCCAGAAGTCCTGGGGTGTGGGCTAAACCAAGGATATGGCCTCCTGGATCCCCCCCTCACCCATGCAGCTGTCCCCTAGTGGAAGGATAGGCAGGGGAGGGGAGAAGACGGACCCCGGCCCCTCCACTCCCAGAAGAGACAGGTCCAGCCTCTCTTGGGGACCAGTCCCCGGTATCCCCCTCTCTTCAAGGCCCAGGCCCTGATGCCAAGGAGCCAGGGATCCATTACAAAGGATCCTGTTACAGGCCCCACCCATGGAGGAGCTGGTCATCTAATCCTGGGAATGGGGGGCTGTGTCAGCAGTGTGCAGCCCCAGCTCCCCTTTAAATGGAACCCACAACATAAGCAAAAGCTCCGTGTGGGTCACATGACCTTGGCAGCACCTTGTGGAGCAACAGGAACAAAACAAGCCCTTTAAAGGGCCACGCCCCAAGATCAGGGTCTTCAGTTCAGACCCCTGACCTGTCCCTTCCTCCCTCCTCAGCCCATTCCTCAATAGCTGAGCTCCTGCCCAGGGAATCCTCAGGAAACCCACAAGGTCAGAGGTGGTGCATCTCTCAGTGATCCTCTCCCTAATCTCCAGAGTTTACAAGTCCATAAACAGGCCCCAAGAGGAAAGGTCTTGCCTAAGGTCACCCAGCAAACTGCAGTCAGAGCCAAGACAGGTTCCCAGAGGGGCCTCCTGAATCACACCCACACTTGGGGGCCCTTTGGCACCCCCAAAAAGTCTAATAAGCTCTGGCCCCTACATCTTAATCCAGGCTTGAAAGCCCATATCCTAGAAGAAAGTGGGGAGAGGCCCCTTCCCTCAAAACAAACCCCCAGGCCTTCAAGCAGGATTTCCCTGACCTGCTCCCCAGCTTCCAGGGTCACTACTTTCCTCCTCATTCTGCTCCCCACCGGCCATCCTCCCACACACCTGAGCCCACCTGGGAGGGGGTGCCCTGCTTCTTGGAACTGAAGTACTGGGATGTACCCAGCGAAGTGTGAGCACCCCTGGAGGAAGGCAATCCTGCCCGAAGGCTGCAGGCTTCAAGGTCAGAGACACCTGGAGCCGCCCTCCAAACGAGCAGAGAGCAGACAAAGGCAGTGGAAGAGCACCGGACAAAGGCGTCGCGGCCGACAGGGCAGCCGGGCCTCATCTCCAGCCCCCAGCCCGCATCCCGTGACCTTCCTCGGCCTCGACCCCCCATCCTACAGAAGGGCCTGGCAAATGGGGGTGTTGGGGAATCTCTCATCTAAGCCCCCCAGCCACACCCACTCACCCTTCTTCTTAAAGAGCCCGAGGAGCGCCGGGAGGTGGCGGCCCAGGAACACCACCATGACTGCAGGCACCACTGGGGTCGTCCCCTGCGCTGACCACTCCAGAACACCCGGCGATGCCTTCTTCACCAGAACCCAGCGCTGAGGGGACTCTGCCAGAGCCCAGCTGCAGAGCGCCGGCTCCAGCCAGAGGAGGGGGAGGGGCTGCTCCCCAGGTCCTCCTCCCACCTTCGCCACTGATCCCGCCCACCACCGACACCGCCCCCGAGTGCGGGGCTGGGACAGGAACCCTCCCAGGCTCCGACAGGGAAACTGAGGCCCAGAGTCTCTGAATACCCTGCTCTTGTAGAGGGGATGATTAGGAGGGTCAAAGATAGTTAACTCCAGGGGCCGCCTACTGACTGCCCCCCAACCCCAACCCCCCACCCCCGTCACGTTCCCAAGTCTTTTTCTAAATAGTCAGGAGCCAGAGCTAAGGCAAGGGTCCCAGCTGCCAGATGGGAGGTGGAAGAGCCACTAGACTAGACTTGGCATGATGCCCAGCCCCAAGTCCTCCTGGCTGGTGAGGCTGCTTGCCTGGGGAAGGATCTCAGAGCAGGCAGCGGCCAGGCAGAGGCTCAGGACTGCCTGTGGGGATGGCAAAGCCAGTGGCAGAGGTTCTGGAGGAGTGGGAGCCAGCCCAGGACACACGCTGGGAAGCCAGGGAGACACCCATCACGGTAGCAGGTGCTAACAGCCCCTCGTGTGTGTGTGTTCGGCCCCAGATTTCCCAAAGGACTGTCTTCCCACTGGGGTGACGTGATATCAGCAACCCCAGAAGGAAGCACTGTGAACTCTGCAAGGCCACACAACAGAGGCAGGCCTTCCACACAGACTTCTTGCTCCTCCTGCCCAGGATCCTTCCCACTGGCCTCACTCTGTGACTCAGTGACTCTGCTGGATCACTAGGCATGGAGAACAGAATTGGCCAAGAAACAGCTCATAGATGAGGGCAGTGAGAGTGGGGGCAGGAAGGCACTTGCAGGGAACTCAGATCCAGGTTCAAATCCAGCTCTATCACATACAAGTTAACGACCCCTTATGGAAACAAGGCGAATAACTACTCTTTTAAGACATTTATTTAATCAGCAAATATTTATTAAACTAGTACTAGGGGTTATAGCTAATGGAGAATTTTTACCTTGTTCACCAGTATATCCTTAGTGGCTGGCACATACAATGAGTTCAATAAATATTTGATGAATACATGAATGAGATGAACTAGCAGAATAATTTCAGATAGTGAAGGCTGAGGAGCTATGACAGGAAGAGCGTAACCTGAGGGGGCATCAAAGGAAAGCCATTGGAAGCAAGACCTAAAGAGTGAGAAGGAACCAGCCAGGCCAAGTGCTGGGCACAGAATCTAGAAACAGGCAACAGCAAGCCTAAAGACTTGAGGCAGGAGTGGTGGGGTAGGTTTCCCAGAACAGAGAGGAGGCCAGTGTGGCTGGAATACAGTGAGCAAGGGAGAGAAAGCAGGTGAGAAGAGGCAGGAGCCAGGTCAGGAAGGGCCCCATTGGTGCTGGCAGAATCTGGATTTTATTCAAAAAACCCCAAGAGGTCAGTACTAAAGGCTAAGCTGAGTATTGACAGTGTTAAAAAAGATTGCCCCTGGCAACTCCAGAAAGAGTAGCTAGCTGAGGAACTTCCCTGGAGGTCCAGTGGTTAAGATTCTGTGCTTCCACTGCAAGGGGCACAGGTTCAATTCCTGCTTAGGAAACTAAGATCTTGTATGCCATGCCAGGCGGTTCAGCCAAAAAAAATAAATAAATAAAGAGTAGCTGAGACTGTGGAAGAGAAGGTCTGTGAACCATCAAGTACAGTCCCCCAAACTCACCTAAGGACCCTGTCTCACAGCACCTCTCTCTCTCTGAGTCCCTAGATATCTAAGAACTCACAGTGGCTCCCATGCCGTAAGGTCCTTCTGCTGGTCCTCTCCACTTGCTGTGCCACTTCTTACGGACCATTTCATACAGATAGCTGAGCCTTCACTCTCCAGAGAACAAAATTCTGTGGGGCTACATAGTATATATCCACAGATCACTGAAATCTAAACAACACTTTTAAGAAATAGGCTTTTTTTCCCCTTTGGCTGCACTGCATAGCTTGCAGGATCTTCGTTCCCTGAACAGGAGTTGAACTCCAGGCCCCAGCAATGAAAACCCAGAATCCTAACCACTGGACCACCAGGGAATTCCCAAGAAGCAGGCACTTTTATCTCCACTTTACAGATGAGAATAATGGACACCAGAGAGGGGAAGCATTATAATAAAGCTGGTAAATGATGGGGCAGCATTGGCACTCAAGACCACTTGAATCCAAAAGCCATGTTCTGCCCACTGTGCCAGCTACAAACCTGATCTCCCCTCTGAAGAAGCGGAGATCACCCCCACAGATGGAAGGTTTCTTGGCCACACTGTCGACTCTTTCCTCACTCTTAGGCCAGACCCATCCACCCCTCTTATGAGTCCCACTCAAACAGAAAAGAGCAGTAGACTGACACTTGTACGGTGATTAATTCATGCCAGGCACCATGCCAGATGCGGGCGGAAGGCAGTCTCTGCCCTCTCAGATCTGACAACAGTCCTTTGAGGTAGGTGCTCAAAGGTACTCTCCTGGTAACTGACCTGTGAGGCTCAGAGAGCCTGGAGACTACCCAAGCTCTGGCTGGCCCCCAAACTAGAGCCTTCAACCCTGCAGGACCAAGTCATGCTCAGTTTCCCCAACCAGGGAAACTAAGGGCTGAGCTCTTCTAAGTGAGGGGCGGGGGGAGCATCAAGGTCCTAGGCCTGCAGCCTTCAGTCAGGGTCAGAGCTGCAAATTCCCTGGACTGATGCAAGGCTCTTACACTTGATAACATCTGGTTCCCCCAGCAACACCCTGCCCCCAACCAACTGCAGCTTGGCCAAGTCAAAGCCACTCTGAGCCACTTCAGCCACAGGTCGACACA